AAATACTTTTTTTTAATTAGTAAACTAGTACTTTAAGCTCACTTTTCCTTTATTTACTTATAATAGAACCGAGCTATATATTTTCCAAATAGTAATAATTTGTATTATATTTATAGAACTGTATTTTATTAATAATATCTTAAGAACTTTATAAATAGAGCTTTATTTACTTTTTTTAAGTTTTAAAATAAAGTTTATAAAGATTTCTATATTAACTATTTAATAGAGCTATTATCTAATTACTTAATAATATACTAGTTTATTTATCTAGTCTAGTTTCTTGATTTTATAGTTCTATAAAAGTACTAAATAATAATCTCTAATATTCCCGAATATTATAAGCTATAGAAATACTAGTTTTAATTCTTTTTTAATTATAGATTAAATGTTTTTATCTTAATTTTTTGTATTAACTTAATATCTAATATAGTAATTCTCTATTTCTTTTAGTATAAGCTTATTAATTATAAGAAGAAGCCTAAAAGAAGCTATTATATTTGTTTTAATTACTTTATTATTAAATGAATTAATCTTATTTCAAATACTTTTATTACTAGTTATTTTATAGAAAGTATTAAACTAATCTATCTAGAAACTATAGTTCTTTAAAATAATAATCTTTATTATAGCTTCTAATATAATTATAATTAAGCTTTAAAAACTATAGAAACTATAGAAATAATTTCTATTAATTAGTTAATAATAGAAATATAAATTAAAATATAATTTTTAAAGAAATAAATTAAATAAGCTCTTGAATATTCTTTATAATATATTAATTAAAAAGCTTATTAGTATAAGGCCGGGCTTATAACTAATATATATAAAGATTATAGAATAGAAAGTTATATTAAATAATAAAAGAATTAATTAAACTAATTAGAAAAGAGCTTAAATAAAATATAAAGCTTTAGGAAATAAGTATATAGATCTTAACTAAATAAAGTAATTATACTAGTTCTAATATAGTAATTCTTATTATAATAATATATAAAACTAATAAATTTAATATATTATTTCTTTATATAATTAATAAGCTTTTATTATTTTATATTAATCTTTATATTAATTAATTTTATAAGTATTATAAGTTTAGAAATAATATTCTTAATTAGATTTTATTTTCTTTCTAATAAAATATAATAAGACTTTATATAAATATTCTAGTATTTTTAAAAACTTGAAATTAATTCTAGAATTATAATTATAAATAGTAATAAAGCTTAAAAGAATATATTAGAAAAAGTATTTCTATATATTTCTATATTACTTTATATTTAATATATAAACTAGTATATCTTTACTAATTATAAAAATATAATTAAATATAAGAATTAGCTAGTATTTGAAGCTATTTAATATATAGTTATTTAAGCTTATATAATTAAGTAATTTAATAAGAACTAGCTTGATTTTTAAATAAAATATACTAATTAAAAGACTTAGTAATATATAATATATTTATAAAATAAGTAATTAAAGAAAAGCTAAAGAAAGTATCTAGTTGAAGCCTAGATAAGTTAATACTTATACTTTAATATATAAGTTATATTATATACTAAAAGTATTTATACTTATACTTTAATATATAAGTTATATTATATACTAAAAGTATTTATACTTATATTAAATATTATTTAGAAAATAAAAAGATTAAAAAAGACTTTTACTTATTATAGCTATTTATTAAAATAACTATAATTAATTAAATTACAGCTATATTAACTTATATAAGTCTATAATAAGACTAAATATCTTTTAATATAAATAAAAAGTTATATTAGAGCTATTTTAGAGTTATTATATAATATATATTATAATTTATATAATAATATCTTGAGTTTATTTCTTTATTATTATAGCTCTATATAGGCAGCTTTATATAAGTAATAGAATTACTTTATATATATATATATATAATATAAAGAAGAATACTAATAGATTTACTCTAGTAAACTTTTATAAATACTAGTACTAGAATTATAAAAATATTATATAACTATTTTTAGATCTATTATAAGCTTATAAATAATATATAGAAAACTTATAAATAGCCTATATAAGCTATATTCTCTTAAGAGAAGAAGAATAAATAAAGTAATTATTTATATATTTAGTATATTATAAGTAAAGTTATATAATAAATAGCTATTACTACCTATTAAAGCTATAGGTATTAATTATTATATAAAGCCAAATTCTCTTTAATTTGAATATTATAGTAATTCAATTACTAGTACCTATAGTACTTATAGTATCTACTATATAGGCTGTACTTATAGAACCTATAATACCTATAGTATCTGCTATATCTACTATACCTAAATAGCTCTTACCGGACAGGCTAGAGGTCCTAATACAGACTTACCTAACTGAAAAGACAGCCTAGCTAGCCCGGCATTCTACTATATAACCAGCAGAATACTGTAAGGCCCAGAAATGGAAAATATTATAGCTAAAAGTCTTGAAAAAGTAAGTATTTTATATGCCTAAGAAATAACGTGACCTCAAGAGCAATATTATAGCAAATAAGGCTAATTAGATCCCTGAGGAGATTATAGTATAGCTAAATAATAAGGAAAGAAGAGAGGAGAAGTATAATAGCTTATAAGTAGAGTTTGATACTAATAGTCAAAGGCATACTGAGAATAGGTATAGGGAAATATAGGCTAGAATTGAGGAGGAGTATGCGAGAGACACTGAGCGATATATACTATAGAATCCATTTTTGCAATGCAGCTGTGCCAGGCGTATATTAATTGCAGGCAAAATTACAGTGCAGGTTGATGCAGACGCGGCACGCGTTGCATTTCGGTGGTGGGGGGTGGAAAATCGCGCTTAGTCAGCTCTGCATTGACACTGTAGTGTTAACGTATTGGAACCCGCTCAGGAGTGTGATGCTTAGTCAGCCCGCAGAGCCGCAAATCATCATCATGCGCATTTCAATGCTATATGTTAGCAACCACACAAGAAACCTCGATCACAGGGAGTACATCTGACCTAAACTCCTGTCTTGCGCTACTGAATCTGCTGGTAAGTATCCCAGCGATGCCATCTACTTTGAAGTAAGCTGACCATTTTTGTTGCCGGTTTCGTATATTCCTTGAACCTTCTGCTCGACCACTCGAACGTTTGTCCTCATACCTCAAGCCCATACCTGAATAACATCGAGTCCTTGGAAAATCTGCGACGACTGGTATCTTCCTGCTGACCACAAGAAGCTACGTACTGTTGGGCTCTGTGCTGCAGCACGAACGTCGTGGACAAATATTACATTCAACTAGTTCACATAACAAGCATGTCAATTGGGAGAAAGGCAGTTGATTATTACTTGTACGTTTACAAGCTGACTTGAAGGCAACAAGGCAACGGCACATCTTGTCCGCCCGGTTCTTTCCTTCATCATACATCGTTTTCCAATTCCTCTGGCTGTCCCGAGGGAGATCGCTGTTGAAATCATCCTTTCGGGTGACATTGAAGCGTCTGCGACCTCTTCGGTTGCTGCTCAAAGCCAAACATCATTGAGGATTGATCATCCAGAATCTCCACATCTTCATGGATCAATCCTGCTTCCATTCAGCAGACACGCCTGGGTCGGCATCTGACCATGAGTCTTCGCCGGTGCTGTGCCATCTTCGCTGGGCTAGTCCAGTCTGCGAGTGGAATAGACGCCGCATCATAGACTTCAATTAGTCTATATCAGGCGAAGGGTGTCAGGCAGACCACAGGAAGGCTCGAGTATCTTGTCTGCTAGTGTCGACGGTGAGCTGATGTTGAATCCCGGGTCAGGCTCTTCATCTCTACTCAGTGCAGTAGATCTTACACTCATCCACTCCTTCCACAGCCCAAATAGTGTTGGAATGTCAGCCGATGCAATCTCTTTCCATCTAGCATGCACATCTAGCCTTACATTCTGCTCTGCGACGAGCCTTTCCCGTCTCATCTCTTCTCTGCGACTCGGAGAACATCGATTTTTCTTCAACTGAAGGTTCTCCTTGGGACCTGATAGGCTGCAGTCTTTTAGGTATTATGATTGCTACGCCTTGGTGGGATGCAAACAAGGCTTGCGATCAGTGAATGAATCCCTTGCCGCTTTGAGCCCCTGAATGCATACTCGGAATTGGCAACCTCCTCGTTCAGCGCATCCAATCCTCCATAATTTTGCGACTCCCAAACATGAAAAGCCTTCAGAAAGTCCTCTTGAACTCATCATGCCACTCCCTCTCCGTGAAACAAACGTTTCTTGCAGATCCTAATGCCCGTCTCTATGCTCCGTCTTCCATGGCCGACTCCAGGTCCACGTCACGACTCAATCCTTCGACGTTGGCTGCTGAAATTCTTTGTCTTGGTTGGCATGCAATTACAATCCAAACAGTGCAAGCCTGCGAGTGCATAGGGGCGGATATATGGAAATAGGGCCGTATAGCCAAACATAATCACGATCCAGTCTTTCACGAAGTAGTCCTGGGACTTCTCATATTTTCCACCTTACGGATTTATTTTCGATTTTACCTCGCAACTAATCTTAGAATTTCTTGCCTATAGTATCCCGTTCCATGGTTATAATGCGAATACCCCGCACACTCGAGGAAATCTTAGTCATCTCACTAAACTACGAGAACATAGGGCCGATTGATAATCTCGCATATTCGTGGAATTTCTTGAACATATTTTTCCATGCTATGGGCGCACGGACCATCCAGTCGCCAAGTTTTGGAGCTGAAAAATATGAGGGATACTCTTCACATTGAAGACATATCTTCAATTAGCCTGAGGGTTTCCTTGAATCAGACGACTTTGTTCTCAGAGTTATCTTCAATCAAAGTGAAACTTCCAATTTCTACGAAGGTCCGAATATTCCGCTATGGTCTGGATCAGCTCAAGATGGTGTCCTTGTTCCGTTGTGTGGAATTCTAATATAAATATGTCGGCCTTTTGGAAAACAATTCAATTCTTACAACATTCTCACAGCTCTGACCTAGTACCTTCACTCTCGAAATATGAAGATCACATCATTCCTCCTCGTAGCGACTGGAGCAACCGCGCAACTCCAAACACTCTGCCAGCAATACGGTTATTACGCTTCAAACGGCTACGAGATCAATAACAACCTCTGGGGACAAGGATCGGGATCAGGCTCTCAATGCACATACGTCAACTCTGTTTCCGGTAGTGGAATAGGCTGGAAAACCACTTGGACCTGGTCTGGTGGCCAAAACGATGTCAAAAGTTTCGCCAATGCTGGTCTTCAGATATCGAATGGCAAATTGGTTAGCCAAATCAATAATATCCAAACTTCAGCATCATGGAGTTATAGCAACACCAACATCCGTGCCGATGTTGCATATGACTTATTCACGGCCTCTGACCCCAATCATTCCAAGAGCAGCGGGGATTACGAGGTTATGATCTACTTGAGACTAACTGACACCTGCCACCAGGTTTTAAACTGCCAGCCTTTCGTCAAGGGCCATGTATGCACACTTCAGCTTTCACTCCTAAAATAAACTGCCAAGGCACTACCTCTAGAAGGAAGCTCATGGTCTGGCGAAAAAAGTGAATCGATTCGTCATCTAAGTGGCGATTAAGCTGTATTAAGCTTGGCTTGAGGGGATTCCACCAGATGCTGAGCTAGACGGAGGTATCAAGCCAGACGAGGGAGATGTCAAGCCAGCTGACGAGTATTCGAAAATTTTGGATACTCTTTACCAGCAGAATCAAACCCGCTTTGTCGAAGAAGAGGAAAAATGGAAGAAATTTTTAGATGGAAAGAATTGAATAGTCTCATTGTGTTGAATCATTTTAGCCAATAAACTTTCTTGGCTCTTAATCAATTCATTTCCTTGCCTCCGGGTTAAGATAGCCCAATTAGAGACTAGAGCCTCTTGTGGCTATGCACGTATTTAAACGGCCGCTACATGATATGCCATTATTGAGAGAGAAAAAATACTAAATAGCAAGCTTCGCGGTGTGCGGTCGAGTATAAGAAGGTCCTTACTGACTTAAGTTCACGGATTTCCCTCGCAAAGTCATATACCAAACACCAAAAAAGACGCTGAATCCTTGGCCTTTCTCTTTAAATTTCAAGCTAGAGACTTAAAACTGATTATTCTCATCGATATCATCCGCAATGTCACCAATCGATCTAAAAGCTAAACTTAGCAAAACGATAGATGAAGCGGAGAAGGAATTAGGTTGGAAGCTTATGAGTGCTCGTCGTACGTTATACGTTGTACTAAGAGGAATTTACTGACAGGTTTAGCATACGTTGGAGTGCAACGAGAATCAAAGTCCCTGACTATTGGTCCTCTACTTCCTATCGCAACCGACGAAGACGTCCATAAATGGAAAGGCTTCTTTCAAAGAAACGGGTGGACGGAAGAGGATATTGTAACAGAGTATCCAAAGGGTGTAATGGAGTATGTCAAGCTGTATGTAAGCGTGTAATGGAGCACAAGTGCGAATTCTGTATTCTTGAGCCCAAGGATTGGCGCACCACTCTAGCCACAGCTACTTCTTAAGCTTCATAGAGTAGCGTACATAGATTATCCCTTGAGTCTAGTGGGAAGGACAACATAGATCTCTTTCCCTGAGCAACCATCCTCCCTTATCTTGAGTATCTTCGACCAAAGAAATGCAATTGAATTCCAGATAGGCTCTCGCAGCATATCCTCTTGATCCAATCTATGCATTAATAACCCCGAGGAGCTTGGGCTCACGCGCCACCAACCTTCACACCAGGCTTTCGACCCCGTTTCCGAGGCTTTCCCCCTTGGTTCTTAAAGAAATTATCTTTTAGCAACTGCAATGGGTGATCCGGGAAATGTTGTCTTATCTCTGACCAAGTTTTGTTCTCTTGAATCATTTTAGCCAATAAACTTTCTTGGCTCTTGTTTAATTCATTTCCCCGCCGTGTTGAGATAGCCCAGTCAGAGACTAGAGCTTCTTGTGACTGTGCGCGTTTTTTGGACAGCCCCGACGTGATATTGTACTGCTTGGAAGATGCGATAAGAGTGTGAGGAACGCTTTTGGACGGTGCTGACAATCCGATACCCAAGTTACGTCCCAACGCTTGAAATGGGCTCGAAAGGTCCAAGACTTCTTCGACATTGACCAGATGAAACTCAAGATTGAAACTCGTGACATTCCCAATCATAGTACGCTTGAGGAAGCCATGTAACGGCCACTCTTGGTATGCAGCAGCCGGTACTGCCTCTGCTGCAGCAGACGAACCCCGAGAAATTTGTGAAACATAGTGCTGCTGCTCTTCAATGGAGGTCGACAAACATCCGTCATCATCTTGAGAATGCGTCTCGTCAATTCCAACTCCCGTGGTTAGTGGCTGAGGAGACTGTCGGAGGTGGATAGGCGAAGTTACGATAGGTGCTGAGCGTGGCTTTCGACGCTTTGTAGGTCGTGGGTCCTCATTGTCAGTATCGTAGGCATTGTGGCTATTATCGGTGTTCGCGGAATAGTAGGTGTCGCTGCTAATCTCTGTACATATGTCTCGGCGTCCTCGCTTCCGCGTCGTAGGCTCGACCCCTCGCCCTAGTGCCGAGTCGGTTTGGGCAGAGGAGCTTCGAGAGGCTTGTGATGTATTGTGCCACTCGTCACTAATTGGAGTTGTTGAATGTTTGACGAGGACCTCACGCTGTGCTTGGCTCAAGGGATAAAGAGAAGATGCTATTCGAGATATGTTCCGTTAGTAACTTGTTCCTCAAGATTTCAAAAACTCAAAAACTCAAAAACTCAAAAACTCAAAAACTCAAAAACTCAAAAACTCAAAAACTTAAAAACTTAAAAAAATACCCCAAAAAAAATTCGGGAGTATTTGATTACCTTTGAGCTTAGCAACTAATACAGGGCTGAGTGAGATTCTTAATTGATCTTCAGCGATCCAGGGGTTATTAACACCAAGTGCATCAACTATGTACTCGAAAACATTTCTGCCTTTGTGTAGGCTAGAGTGCATCTTGCGAACTCGGCAGATGTTTATCTGTAGAGCCGAATCGTGAGAGTATGGTTCGCAAGCCATTGACATTCGTACTTCGTCTTCATTGAACCAAGAATCCGATCTATGAGAGTGTTCCCCCCACACAACTCGATACTGGGTTGTTTTCGTGTGATGTCCAGCAAGCTGCCGAGTTCTTACCCCACGCAGACGATAACGCTGCTCGTCGATCTTGGGTTGCGCAGCTGGCAGAGCTTCGGTGGCCTCCTTGTCTTCATGGTCGTTTGCGTTCTCGACCTCGACCAAGTCCTGCACATCACCCACAGGCGGCTGCGCAAGCTCTTCCTGCTGCTGCATCGCTACGGCCCCTCCTTCCACCACTTGAGTCTCCTGCGGCTCCCGACACTCAAGGTCGTGAGCCGGACCACCACGTCGAGTAACATCTCGCAGCTTATCCAATATACTATCGATGGTTTCGCGTTCTCGACTCTGGATCTCGTCTTGTAGTGCCTCGAGCGAGTGAGGACTTGGGATGGTAGACGTGCCGGCCGATAATGACTCTGCTTGTTGCTCTGCCAAAGCCAACTCCAGTTCCTTCTCTAGTTCAGCAGTGTTCGCATCGTTCCATCCATCATCGCCGCTGTCAGAAGCCTTGGCAATGGAGGGAAGCGCAGAATCCACTGACGTGCGCTGAGTGATGTTGACATCTTGCTGGTTGATCTGGTCTTCCAGTGGCTTAAATGATTGGGGGAGAGTGTTGGGTTGGGCTTGTGCGGGAATAGAGGGCACGCCGTGCGGCTCAGAGGCGAGTTCTGAGGGTGTGGAAGTGTCGTGCAGACTTGCGACCCGTTCAATATGCCCAGTATCGCAATCACTGGAAGCGTTACTGGCTTCATTCCCAGCACTTCCTTCAACTGGGTTGTGGCTATTATCGAGAATCACTGATTGATCTCCATATAATTAGCAGCCCGCTTCTGAGTATGAAGGACAATCGGTGTACCCACTTCGACTACCATCTTGAGGTTCACCCAACCCTGATTGTGTTCGATTGACTTGCAGTCCAGCCCAGTGGACAGCTGGCTGTTCTAGGCGCTGAAGTGTAGATCCTGCGTTTGAGGCCTTAGTTGAGATCTTTGGGCGCAGATTTGCTCGAGACTGCTTTTCGAGAGGTAGAGGATGGGTGTCTGCTTCAACGTCATTGTCAGCAGGAGTTTCTAGAGCGAATTCGCCCCTCGGGTGTAGCTTGTTTACATACCTTCAACTCTCGCTGCCGTATTTCTCTCTTCCTCAATTTGATACTTAGAACTGGAAAAGGTAGCCGTAGGTTGTTTTTGTATTCTCTGGATGTCGCTGGCGTTGAGTGAAGAGATTAAACCGCTGGGTTTAGAAGACCAGGGAGGACTGCTTTTGCAAAATTGCGGTTGTGATGGGGGAAACGTGAATTGAACAAATTGCAAACCCTCAGAAGTAGCCATTTCAAAAGGAAGTAAACCGAGGAGAGAACCAGTTTGAGCATGTGTAGAATATCTAGCGAGGGGAATTCAGTGGCTTAAGTGCCGATGTCTGAGTATCTGCCAGTTGCAATTAAGCTGGTCTCGTCGACACATCGGTTTGCCGCTCGCAACTGCCGTTGCTGTCCTTAAATCAACCTGATCCTGTATATGAATCTCAGCCCCTCCAGGCTCTTGCCAGGACTCATTCATCATGCAATCCCCAGCATCCCTTGGCTTGACCGAAGATCGAGAAATAGGCCTGTGATCATCCAATCCTACTCGAAATCCAATCCACCACACTCCTCCCGTAGAGCTTGTGGCCAATCCAACATAGCTGGGCTGAACCACCTTCCTCTTGCAGAATCGAAACTCCGCAGCGGATCCTCGAAACATCCTTTAGTCACCAGATCCAATTTTCTAATGTGCAACGAGCTCCTCCCAAGGTCGTATGATCTGCCTCCACGCAATCTTCCACATTATTCTACTTGTTTGTGACCCATTCTCCCAACGCCAGCGTTTCGTAGTCAGTCCACGGTGCTTAGCCAAGCTTCGATATTGCCGTCGTTATGCAGATTATCATCTGCCATAGCCACGTTTGGCAGCAATTGGTCCTTCTCGTCAGAGATTAGCCTAGATCAAGGCAATGTTGCATGTCGTCGTCTCACCAGGCCAAGGGAGCTCACCGAGATCCTTTCCCTAATGCGTAATGCCATGGCGCAGCCAGGCAGAAGCTGGCCACGTCGTCGTGGGGCATTTCTTCCATTGGCCAGGCCGTATCGCATGAAGAGAATGCCAAGGGCAAGCCTCCACTATCACGGTAAGGAGAGAGCTGAGAGCTGAAAGCTGAAGCTGGGCTTATGCTCGCATTTCGGTCATGCATCCTTTTCAGCTTGTAGTGAGGCCTTTCTGCTATTGGGCATGTCTTTGGATCAATGGACCAGATCAGGTTGGGGCTTGCATGAGGAGGTGACCCCGAGACCAGGACTGTACGGCTGCTCTTGCGATGCTGCCGCAGCTAGGGACCCTGCCATCGAGCCCCACACATCCATGAGTGAGACCCGTTGTAGGAGAGGTAACGAGGAATTAGATGGATCGAGGATCAGAAAGAGTGCAGCGAAAAGACGCGCAGCAGGTCGAAAGGTGTCGCGAGAAGAGGAATTCGGGTGGAAGATTCGAAGATTATAGACTGAGAGGGTTCGAGACGTCGACTCCTGCGCGCGACACAGGATTACCAATCTGCTCAGCCAGTGCTCGACTTTGGGCGGTCGCAGTTGGATAAAGTGGGACGGCCATCATGCTCGAAGAGGATTCGCTGCGCACAGTTGTTGGTTGGGAGGTAGGGCCGAGACCAAGGCGAGGCAGACCAAGCGCTGCGCAGGGAAGGCAGGAAAGAGGGAAGACCAGTTGCGGGTGGGAGTAGCAAGTGAGGAAGTTGCGAGCGAGGGAAAGAAGGGAGAGAGGGGATCTTATAGACGATGTCGAAAAGCAGCGCCTGCTCGAAGCGAGGGCGCCTTGCCTGAACGAGCGGCGCCTAGCCCGAACGGGCGCGCGCGATGCCGAACACGGCCTCGCTAAGCCCAAGCGAGCTGGACCCCCCGGAACCTGCGCCCCGCTAACCGTCTCACAGAATACTAGACAACTTATTCACTAATAATTAATAACAACACATACACTAGTAAATATCACACAACCGAGTATAAATTACTACCCAGTTTACAACATATAATATTTAAACTAAAATAAAGGCCTGAAATAGTATTATAAAGTTTAAATAAAGCCTATAATAATAATATATCTAGTATTATTATTATTTATAGGAATTATTAATATATTTAAAAATAATATATTATTTTATAAGAATTCTAGTTCTAATAATAATAATAATATTATTATTTATTTTCTATTTATTAATATTTTTTAAATTTCTTTTTTTAATTCTCTAAAATAAAAAAGTATTAAAAATAATATTTTATAAGCTAATATAATTTAATTAATTATTAGCTTTATTTTAAAAATATAATATTATAACTTATTTAATTAAAGAAATAATAACTTTCTAAATCTTATAAAAGTCCAGATTTCCTTACCTTAGATTATTATAAAACCTTAAAATCTAGTAGCAAGTTATTAATAACTAAATAGATTCTTTTTAAATAAGTTAGTATTTATATATTATAAATATTTTTAGTGAATTTATATACTATTTACTTTTCCTTATCTAAATAATTATAATTTAAATTATAAATATAATTAATAAAGCTTTTATAATAAACTTAAAAGGCGGAAACGCCGGCAAAAACATATATGATATAGTTAAATACCGCTATAATAATAATAATACCGACATTACGCCACTTGATATTAAGGAGTAGAATCAAGCTAAATCATGCACCAAAATGAACATACGGAACCCAGTGTAAAGGTGCTACCTTATCGCGCTGTATTAACAGAGATGCATCTCTCGGTAGCCTTTTGGGCCTCCGATGTGTTTGGGTACCAATATTGGCGCCGCTTGCATCTTTGTTTCCGAGAAATGAGCCGCTTCGCCAAGTGTCTCGGAGTGCCCGACTTGCCATGTGAAGGCCTCGACACACCGACTCGTCAGTCATACCTCCATCTCTAATGACTTCGTACGTGATTCTCGCCATGTCTATGCATATTGTATCGCTGACCTCCCAAAGGGTTCCTATAACATGCCGAAAACCCGCTAGCTGACAGGCGTTTATTAAATGAACACTCTCGTCGATATATCTCTCGTCTTTGACCTGGCCAGTACCACATGCTGAAAGATAAGCCAAAAAAGGCGAATGCTCGCGAAGATTCATCTCTAGTAGATCGGCCACCGTGAGTGGGTTGTCCTTCCAGTCCTCCAGGCGAAAGTGACTCTTTGCTGGGTCTTCTGTGTCCGTGTATCCGTGGCCAGCGAAGTGGAATACCCTACAGTCTCGCAAATACGACGTGACATCTTCTCTACGCCGTCCTGGCTCGACAGCATCGAGTGGAATCGACCTGCAGATGGTTTTCACAGTCGCAACTTCTTCGTTCGCAAACCGGAGCGGGGTGCTCTCTGGCGTATTCTCCATGGCCACAAAAAGCGCTCGAGCCGCGGTGGGTGTATTGTTGCGTCGGCGTGCATCTATGATGGCCTTGATGGAAGTACTATAAGATGACATGGCTCTGTCAAGGACCGCCTCGGAAGATTGCCTGCGGTGGTATCCTGCCGCGTGGAGAGGAAACCTGGTTAGAGAGCCTGTTGGAATCCACCATATATGGGGCCAGTCGGCGGCGTCATCAGGGGGCTTATCAAAACCAAGCGCCTCCAGAATCGGCTCTGTAATGGTCTCCCAGAGCCATTCGAGCACCCCCAAGTGTCCAAGGTCCCCGTTATTTGCTCTTTCAGCGACTTGTTCTTCGGAGAGACTGCTCAGCTCGACAACCTTGAGTTGATCTTGCTCGATGAGTATGGCATCGCAACCATACTCGCTGATATTAATGACGGCGATTGGACCATGGCTCGCAGCAGCCTTGATGTCAGTTTCTTTGGCCAGGCCCAAGAAACCCTCGAATCCGGCTAACTTGCGTATTTCGTCAACTAGCTTGTCAAATTCTTTCCCCGCATCGTAACGCCGATTTGCTTTGGCCAGCCAAGACGCCTTGTCGGGTCCGTCTAGGGCATTTGTATCGACAGAAGGTGGTGTCTCTAGTTCCTCACGGAGACGGATAAAAGCCCTTGCCAACTCGGGGTTCCTTTCCTGTAGCGGAAGTATATCGGCCCGTATCTCTTCAACTGAGGCCCAGAGCACACCACGGCCTTGTTCAAGGAGGTCTAGTGCAGCCAACGGCCCCTTATCCGCCCGCAGGGCTACGGCTGCCGCATCAGAGGCTAGGCCAACTACCTGGCGGAGTAGATGCCGTCTGTCCGAGTTCTCGAGCGATCGTAACGTGAGCCCACGGATCAAGCTCACTGCTAATTTTGCAGCCTCATAGCATTGCTCCCAGTCCGAGGAACAATGAAGAAGAGCCTGGCCGGCTTCTATGCGGGTTATAAGAGTTGAACTGGAGAGCTGTAAGGCCCCCTGATACAATACAATAGCTTCATCGACGTCGTTTCTATCTTCGGTGTTATCTCTATCTTCTAGCCTATATCCAAGAGAGACCATGCAAGAAGCACGGTCTGGGTGGGCAAGAGGTGTGGCATACACGGCTTCTCTTGCCACTTGGATGGCTTCCTCGATATCGTTTAGAGAGCTTGTACTTTCGAACCTATCTCCGAGTTGAACACTAAGGTTTCGTAAGACTGCCGCCCGTTCTATGCGATCCTTTGGTATTGAATCAACAGCTTGCCTAGTGACCCTGATAGCCTCGTCAAGATCCGACATGCTTTTAGTCCTCGAATATTTATTATTCAGCTGGTTTCCAAGATTACTCAAATACATCGTCCGATTAGGATGGTCATCTGAAGTTGCACCGATTATTTGCTTTGATAATTGAATAGCCTCTTCGAGATCAAGCGTAGCTCCTGTCCTTATGTGTTTGTCGTCAAGCCGGGCTGAGAGTGTACCAAGATACCTAGGTAAATCCGGGTGGTCCTTTGGAGTCGACTTGACCACCCTTCGTGCAATCTGAATAGATTCTTCAAGCTCAGAAATGGCTTCTGTCCTGATATATCTGTCGCCGAGTCTGCTTCCAAGGTTATCCAAATACTTGACTCTATCTGGATGATTGTTCGGCGTCAGGTCAACTGCTTGCCATGCGAATCGGATAGCTTCATCAAGGTCGCCCATATCCCCTACACGCGAATATCTGTTTTGAAGCTGAAGTGCCAAGTTGCTTAGGTACATGGCCCGGTCCTGATCATTCTGCGTGATTTAGATGGCTTGCTTTGTCATCTGAATAGCCTCTTCGAGATCTGCAATGTCTCCAGTTGCTACATAACTATTTCTGAGCAGGCTTCCAAGATTGTTCAAATACATAGCACGACTTGGGCCAGCAGTGGCACAAGAAACGGCCTGATTAGCTATCGTAATCGCTTCTTTGAGGTCATCGACTGTGCCCTTTCTCAGATATCTATCGTCAAGTTGGTTTGCGAGATTGCTGAGATATGTTGCACGAGCTGGGCCGCTTGGTGTAATTTTGACCGCTTGCCGTGATACTTGGATAGCCTCATCGAGGTCTTCGATATGACCAGTCCTTTCGAATCTATCGGCAAGCTTATTCCCAAGGCTTGTGAGATACATGGCTTTTTCCGTGTTGTCGTTGGCACCATGAGTGGCGGCTTGCCTCATTACTTGGATTGCTTCCTCAAGGTCGCCCAAAGCACCTGCTCGTATATATGTCACCCAGACGATTTCCAAGGTTAGCCTGGTATCTAGCTCGATTTGGACCATTTGGGGTAGCATCGACCGCTCGCCTAGCTAAACAGATAGCTTCCTCAAGGTCCAGTTCAGTTCCCAATCTCGCGTATCGATCACCAAGCCGAATGCCAAGATTGTTGCTGCACATAGCTTGATCTGTGGCGTTTGTACAAGCTTCGATTGCTTGTTCAGAAACCTGGATCGCTTCTTCGAGGTCGCTCGCGTCTCCTGTCTGGAGATATCTCTGCGAAAGATGGGTCCCGAGAGTATCAAGATGTTTGGCTCGATCATGTTTGTCCACTATCCGATCTATCGACTCTCGAGACAAATAAACAGCTTCGTCGATATCAGCACGAACTGCTGTTTTTCCAAATCTTTCACCGAGCTGGAGTGCAAGGCTGCGTATGCGCGCCGCCCGGTTAGGATGGTCGTCTGGGGTAGTCTCGACCAGTTGCCTCGCAACTTGAACGGCAGCAGTGTCGAGATCCGCCATCTGCAAGGGCGATCATCTGCATATTAGTTCATAATTTCGCCGCAGTCAGCGAGAAATTGCCGATCGTGTGTCTCGTAGGCATATGTTAACATCTGTATTTATAACGTAGGTCGAAGAGAGCCTTGTCTGCACTTCGAACAAATTCTTTCAGGGAGGCTTTCGAGCTGAACCTGTATTAAATATGAAACACTTGACGGCTGCCTAGAAACTCGTCGCAGAGAATCTTGGTATGAACAGTCAATGTATCTCCGCAACAGATCATCATGTTATGGACATGACGGAGTTAGCTTTTCAATTGACGGAGCACGTAGTAAGGTCACACGTACTTCGTAAGCTGGGGCAACTTTCAAAAAGCGGGGCCTCCCATCACGTGAGAAAGCAGGTTGCTGGACAGAGTCGTACATAATTCAACCAGTCCAACTTTCGACCCCTAAATTAGATTGATTGACTATTAATACGCAATCTAATCAATTAACGAGAATGGATTCAATTTATTATAATTAAGCGCTTGATTGGGTTGAAAGTTCGATTGTTCGAACGATTAATTGAGTGTTGATTAAATTATGTGCAGCCCTCCTGCTGAACCCAGGTCTAAGATATCAGTTGAAACCACTACCAACAGACAAAAAATTTCTTTGGTCAATTCTGTTCCTTTCAACCTAGGACTATCGACTCCCTTCTGTATCTTTCATTTGAGAGCGGCGGACCGCCAAGGTTGACCTCATTTCGTGGATGTCAGTATGTCCACAGACCTCGTTGAAAATAGGTAGTGTTGATGCTCTGGCGTTACTTTGTCTGCATCACCCAGCCTCTGCAGCATATTCTCGAACCAAACAAATACTCGACACGTCCTGTCATCGAATCTTTGACTAACGTGTTCGATTCACTTTAGTGTACCGAAGAAGCTTGCAGCAGCGCCGGCACTACAGGATGGGGCTCTCGACAAGATTTCGGCGTACGGAATACCACTCCATGCTAACAGTCTACGAGATGCTGTAGATATGCTTGAGCGCGGCCTTAATCTTCTGGTGGAGAACGATGCTGACGATGAACCGGTGCCCGAAATCGCCACTTTCTACGCTGTCCTTGTGCAAACGTCTCGGCAACTATTCCAACAGACGCACAATATTTCCGATCTAGATGATGGCATTCGCTACGCACAGCAGTCCTTAGACACCACCTTGAACGGTGACCACTTGAAAAACTTGTGGAAAGGCATTCTTCTAATGGAGACAAATGACTAATTTGCAAAATACAGCCCTGCGAAACAGATAGGTAGTATTCTGGTATAACAATTGCGTTCATTTCTATGTTCATAATGCGTTTTTCTCATCTACAGCCGTTTCCTCTTACGCCATTCTTCAACCCCGCCAAAAGTCTATCGTGTCTATCGTTCTCTCTGCACCAGATCCCATTGGTACTGCTCACTCGTTAGAAAAGCCGTCGAAGTAGACACAGAATAGAGAACTTACAACTCGCCCATCTTCATCACCGGTATACACCGTCTGCTCCATTGGTGTTATGCAGGTGATCGCAGCGTCAACGAGGACTCTGATGCCGCCACCTCCTGGAGTAGCTAAGCTGCCCACAGCAGTCTCCCCTTGCCTCCAGCTGTCGGCATGATCCAACCTCTTCACCAATTCCAACTTCCATTTCCCATTCCTTCCGCTTCCGACAGCCTTGCGCCAAACATTTGCGACCCCGCCTCTCTGACCGGTGAAGCAGAGGCTGCTCTCTAGCCATTCGTTCCCTTTCCCCTCATACCACGCACAAGCCGAGATAGAATCGTCGGGATTATCGCAGATTTTTTGGTCCAGGATCAAGTCTCCATTCAGGGTGTAAATAGAGACATGCCTCCCACGGCAAAGCATGATATCCCCTGTGACGTCGTTGATGCGCGCACACTCAACTTGACCTTTTCCACTCGTGAGCTTGCGCACGAGCTCAAGGCGATTGAGGTCCCAAAGTAGAACCGCCCCATCACAGGAGGCCGATAAGAGTGTAGAGAACGATTTAGAGATTGCTAGCACAGTGACTGGGGATTTATGACCAAATAAGGACGATCTGGGCTGAAGCTCCACGGGTTTTGAAGTCGAGGTGATAACAGTGTGAGCGGATATAACACAATCCTCGCCAGCGGTTATCAGGAGCTGTGAGGAGGCAAAGATTGCGCAAGATAATTGACCTTGATGAAGGTTTTCAAAGTGGCCTGCAGGCTTCTGATTGTCATTGAAGAAGAACCGTACACTTCGATCGGCAAAGCCCCACTCCAGATATTTGTCATAATGTGGGGGAAGATTCAGTCGGAATGCAGTGGCGCATAGGAGGCGATCAAGCTTCGCTGAGTATATTAGAGATGCAACTCGTTCGTGGGATTCCAGGAGTGGAAAGGGGAGCTTGGTGAGAGCCTCGGCGGAAGAATCGAGGCGAAGAATCCGATTTTTCGAGTCCTCGCGGCTTTGATGCGGCTTGGAAAAGACTTGGTGGGGTGTTTGGCCAAAATTATGAATGATGCCAATTGTGGCAAGACGTTCAACCGGATCGACTATGTTGTCCAGATCTTTGGCACCATGATACGACAGGTGATGGAACACGTTGACACTCTCGATGGCTGCCTCTCCGCGCTGCTTGGATCCAAAAATGAGATCGATCCACTGGTGAAGATGGCGACTGACATAAGGGCTCTCGAGAGCCTCCCGGTGCTTAGCTATGAAGATCTTGGGATCTCCTTTCGCCCACGGCGGTAACTGTACATTATCGATCCCTCCGCCGTCACCTTGTCTCACTCCAAAATTGTACCCGTTGCTGTTAGTGAGAAACTCAGGGAGGTAGAAGAACTCTGGGATGAGTTCACGAACATCAGTCATGTTGTCCTTTGAGGCAGATTGCCAAGCTTTCTCGATTGAGTAGAACAATCTGTCTGGGTGGTCAAAGCTACCTCCTTGGAGGAGCAGATACGACTGAACGAATGGTTGAAGCCTGATGAGATACGAAGTTACAATCATGGCGGACGAGTAATGTGTGCCGTAATGGAACGCTGGCGTGTTGTGATCACCCATGTCCGCAAAAGTCTTATACCTCTCAATGAAATCCGCAGACCGAGAGTTGTGCTGAGCTCCCATTGGTTTCGACAGATCTCGGAAAGTAGCAGGATTGTTGAGATCCAACTCGCCGCTAGTATAGTCTGCAAGGACCCATGGGAACACCGGATATTGCGTGAGATCGTTGAACGTCCTGCCAGCCATGGTATTGACCAACATTAGGTAATGAAAGTTTGACATCTCTCCTTTAGCCCACCTTCGCATGGCAGGATTCCAGGCAGATGAGTTGAAAATGCTCCCAAATTTGGACCCAAATGTCGTCGGCGTTTCATCAGAGACCTTAAGAGCCTCCAGACGCCAGCTGTCTTCGGGATTTGGAAGTGACGAGCTTCCGGTTGTGTGTGGAGCTTTCGAGGTCAATTTTGTGAACAAATCGTCCCGAAGTAATGGGGAAATTGCGGTCAAGAGGTAGCTTCTACCATCAACGAAGAACACTTCTACAGCCACATCTCGGAACAGGAATCGCCTCTTCGAGACACTGATCACATCATTCCATCTCCAACTCCTGGCCTCCTGGTCCATTCTGATGGTCTGTGATCGTTTCTCTGTCGATTTTTGGCCAGCGATCATCTGCAGATATGGATCACGCTCTTCTCTGGGAGCTTGGGTGACATTGACGATTTCTCCGTCAGACCTCTGAAAGACGTTGTCAATGAGATACAAGGAATCTTTGCCGATGATAAGAAGGCCTTCACAGGCTTCAAGTCCGATAATGCGAGAAATGTTGAAGACTTGTTGAACCTGATCGCCTCTCTGGAGACTTCGCATGACTTTTCGATTTTTGTCTTCGTAGGCGTCGTCATCACCAGGATCATTAGGGTCATCCACAAGCTCGAAATCCTCCTCAGGCATGACGCTCTCTTGTGACATATCGGGATCATCCTGTTGCGCATTACCAAGTGCTTCACTTGATGGACTGTTCCGACCATCGAGAGCCAGTTCGCCTGTGATCGGCAAGGGAGATGGCGATACTCCAGTGTTGAGGAGCTTTGTGTTCAGCTTCAGAGTTCCATTCGAGGGGGTGGGCGCATCGGTGATTCTACGTTTGGGTTGATAGTCATAGGTCGGTGCAGCCCGATCTGGTAACATTCGTAATCTCATACGATTCCGGCCTTCGGTGCGGTCGAGCTTCCATTTCGTAGGTGAGTCGTTCTCGAAGACAGCGCAAGGTCTGTGAAGTTCACGATCCATCTTTGAGAATGTGGATGCTAGGAAAGAGAAGTTGTCTTGTTGATCTTGTTGGGCTCTTTGGTGCTTGAGATGCTCCGATGCAAAGATGTTCTTCATCCAATGAGAGGATGCCATATCGTGTTGTGAGAGGATTGCTTCCTCGGTTTTTTCTTCGGTATTCCATTGCTTGAGCTTTTCTCTTCGCTTCGCGAGCCGAATTTTGGCAGTCTCTTCGGTCTTCTCGTTCTCACTGTTGACAAATGCCTCCCAGGTCTTTGACATCGCCCCAAAGAACAATGCATCAAGCTCGGCCCGTTGATCGTCAACCCACGCAACGAAGGTTTCGTTGTCCAGTTCCATAAGCTTTTTGAAGCCGGAAGTCAGGTTTCGGTGCTCACTCGTCATTGCATGATTAAAAATTGTTGATGTCTCTTCCGGTTTTTGCACAAGCAAGATCCGCCAAAGATTCGCAGCAGCAAGGCGGATCCTTTCCCGTGAATCAACGAGCTTCAAATACAGCTGATAGCAGATCAGCTGCAAGAAGTCATCCTCTGCGAGATCTGGAGACAGGACCACCGTCTGCCAGTAGAGTAGCTTATCCATGAATGCGACAGCCTCATCCTCGGGGACTTGAGCACTGTCAAGCTCCGAAAGTCTGAGAAGTGACACCCTTAGGAAGACGCTTTTAATAGACAATATCGCCTGGCTACAGAGGCGGACGCTCTTAATCTTGGAGATTTCGGGGCGCTGCAAATACTCTAATAATGTTCCTGCGAAGTCAAGCAGTGGTTCTGCTCCACTTAAGAACCATCCTTCAAAGACAGCCTCCCCAATATGAAGAACAAAGCGAGCCATATTTTGAAGTAGCTTCGGCTCCCAAAGTGATTTTTGGTCTAACTGAATGGTGTTACCTAGTTGTGAGATGGTGTTCCGTAGTAGGTATGACTCAAAGTAGGCCTGGTGTTCTTGGAATCCCGGAGGTACTTTCTGGAAGAGACCAAAGCCGGGAAACTCTTTCCTGACCATGACTTGGTCGATAAATACATTCACAACTAGTTCAAGTAGGCCCTCGACGAGGGAGTTGCTGATGGCCTGAGTAGCAAGTTTCTTCTTGGGAGACATGACGAGATTCAACCTGGCTGATGAAGGGCTGAACTCAGAGGGCCGAGAAGTTAACAAAATGAATGACGATCCTCGTCTCAGAGGCTTGGCTCTTGGTGTTGTGGGACTTGGTGGAAGTAGTGTTTCTACGGTTGAGGTCCGAACAATCGGGGCGGGCATCGTTGAGACTCGTGATAGATTCCGTATGATAACATCATCACCCTCAAATGTCAGTGCCGAATCGCGAGAGTTTAGCTCGACATCAGGGCTGACTGAGTCTGTGCTCACAACCACTGGGAACAAGACGGCAAGAAGAAGTCTGATGTAGTCGGAAGCTACCGTGAAGTCCCTGTAATCCAACGACTTGGAATACAAGTCCGCTAAGAAACGGATAACGGTGTGGAGGACAGTAGCCTGTCCACCGAGGTGTTCCTTCTTCGGCTGATGAATTTCTGACCGAGTTAGCAAGTACTCTATGAAATGAAGTCCCGGATTACTCACGGCGTGACTCTAGTTCCTTAGTCAACGACATGGACCTACGACGAGACGGGCCGGATGGCACACTCAAGGCTGCATCAACTCCCTTTCCATTGCCCTTGTCGTTGAGAGGAGAGTCCGGGTCATCTTGGTGTCGAAAGACATCCTTCAACCCGCTTTGCAACATCGATGTGATCACCGGTAGGACGTTTGGATAGACTACGTTGCAGTTGCTAAATGCCTCCAGAAGACTGAACAGTTCGAAAGACCTCTCAAAATCGATATCCGCAACGTCACGGGCGAACAAGATGCTGAAGCAGATTGGCCATAATGTGGGGAGATCCCACCATCTCTTGAGTCTGTGTCGCATGATCGCAAAGCCGCCAGTCTTCCCTGCAAACTTCGAGACGTAGCCAGAGCCGTGGATGACAAGGAGCCGGGCTAATATTTTAGTACCATGAACAACCACTTCCGGGTCATCCTCTGTCAGAAGGTGCAAAAGCCACTGAATTAGCACATTAGCGAAAGCTCGAATAATCGCGAAGGGTAAACAAACCTTGTTCGTGACAGTCCTGGCGAATTTTCGAATGTTTGATGTATTGCCTTTCTCGCAAAGCATATCGGAATACATTTCCAGCACCTTGTTCCCAAGCTGTCTCTTGGTCAAATTTGCAGACGTCACATCCTTACCATCCAAAAAGGTGTTGAGAATCGGTCGTCTTGGAACATTGGGATTCAAGCCAGATCGTAGTGGTAGGGTTCCAGCTTGGTTCCTGGGCGTCCGGTTTCCGGAGGTACTTGGCTTATGATACGCGTACGTGATGAAGAGTGCGAGAGACCGAAAGACTTCGGCTGTCACATTGCACTTTACCAGAGTTGTGAGAGCTTCCATAAAGGACGGAAATACATCAAGAGAGAACGTCTCCGCCTTGAGAGCGTCAAGAAACCTCTTCACAATTCCTGTTTGATGTCAGGGGAGGCCTAAAATGCTGGGCAAAGAGTGACTTACTCATTCGAAACAGCCTCCGCGAGTTAAATTCGTGGAACTTGCTGTTGACTCCGAAAACAATAAACTGTTTGTAGTAGAGTCTTTGAGTGATCGGTGCCGTCTTTCTCCACATGTCGAAGTCAACAAGGAGAATTCGGTATGCGAGGGGATTGATGATATACGACTCTTCCGGCTTCTCGAGGTTATACCCAACAAATTCTAGAACAAGACTGAGTAGCTGGAAACCAAGCTGGTCCATGTCATCGCTGGTCATGCTGGGAGCTTCAAAGGCGGACTCGCGAGAAGAAACCACTGCGCCAGCACCGACTTTACCCCGAATCAAAGCTCCCAGCACAGCGTAGCCATTTTCTCGTTCCATGGCCTCACTATTCCGCCAGCTGGACTTGATACTCTCAAACACAAGTTCCACTGCGCGCACGATATCATCCTTTGTAGTTGCATTATCGACCAATTTCAAAGCAATCCCAGCAAACCCCCCTAGACGCCACAAGGTATCATCAAGTGATTGTGGAACTATGACCACCGGGCCGCCTGTCAAAATACTGGTGCCTTGGGACTTGGCCAAAGCATCGTTGATTGAAGGCACTGCAGCGTTTATGGCAACCGAGGTTCCGTTGTTGTGCGTTAGCTGAAATAAGTTACTTCCTGCGGTTCGGTTCAGGCCACGGAGGAGTTGCGATTCATATAACGTGTGACGATCATCTTCTCCAAGAATAGCTGTGGGTAGAATGCTGAGTAACACACGGCTCTCTGGAACAAGGGAGCTCGCCTTTTCTCGAATTGCACCCAATATATCGGAGTTCTCGTCTTTACCAGGGTGTATGATTTCATTACGCATTCCCAGCGCAGCTGAGGCTTCATACGTCTGGAATGAACCAAGGCAATCTTGGAAATTGCCATTGTAACGGGGCCCGAGTCGATAATACACCGCGATCAGGTCGTCACTGAGCACGTCCTCGAAAAGATGTGCCGAAGCTAATGACCAACGTGAGAATACCACACCACGGCCAAGGCGAGCAGACAGATCTTGGGGCGTGCCTAGGAATGCTTGCACCGGGTTTGTCTTCGTTGAGGATGTGGCGAACGACGCAAAGCTCTCGGTACTGGCGTTTGAAGGGGGCGGATGGACGGGATACTGGCATTTGACTTGTTCGGCAAATTCTCCATCGACATAAAGCGCGGCCTTGCTTGAGGACATGGTTCTCTGCCGCCGGTGAACAAGTGCGACGTGATACCAGCGGCGCTCCTTAAAGACAACCGACTTGAACCTGACGCTAGGCCTGGAAGAAGTGACAGATGTCTGGAGAATGAAATTGTGGGTATCTTTTTCTAGATATGCTAGAAGAAAGCAAGTCTGGGTCGAGTCAAATGCACCGAATATGGTGGTGTGGGAATTGGGATCGAAATGATCCACGTGAACCCAAGCGGTAAAAGTATAACCAGCAGTTGCTGATGGAGGGGGAAACGGCCGCCCTAACGTTGAGAGCTCAATTGAAGCATAACCCTGCAAAGATAGGTCGAATTGTATGTACGCAGGACTATGAGAATTTTTCATTGCTCGAAGGAGAAACTCGGCCGCAGCGGGAGATTTGTTGCAGATGAGATATTGAGCGTCACTTAGAGTACTGATCCCTAGGGACAGCAAAGATGCACAGAGAACTTCCACCGACCGTCTTTCAGAGGCTCCAAGTGGAGTGTCTGAGTCGAAAGAAAGGGGAAGGAGGGTGGACAAGATGCCGGTTGCATGCAATGCCAACAGATTGTGATTTGAGATGGACGAAATCCTTGTTAATGTCTGAATGACGACCAGTGCAGCCGGGCTCACGGGGGTTCCAGGCCGTCGGGGAATTGTTCTCCAAAAATCGACAATAGTTGACACGATCTCGGCATTGTATAGTAAAGCACCTTCCTTCAAAAGGTCTTGGAGTTTGGCATCAACAAAAGCCAGGACCTTCCCGTCTTCAGCAATGCAGTCTGAAGTTGGCCTCGAGACAGCGATTTTCCCACCCAAAGGTTCATTTGGGCTTCCATCATCCAGGAGCTGGCCTTCCTCTGTGACAGAAGGAAGTAATTCAGCGGCCGTCTGGCACAAAGCCTCGAATCTCTTGTCGTCAAGCGCAAAAGCCAACAGCCGCCCAAAAAGCTGCGCTTCACTCCATAGGTCCGACTCACTACCCCCGATGCCAGTGCTCGCTATAGTCTGTTCGAGGGCGGCCCACCCACCACCTTCCACGCGACGTTTGAAATAAATCTTATTTCCGTAGTGTTCCCTGAACGTCTGCCCTAATATACCAAGTATGGTTTCCAAAAGCTCAAAGAGCTGCGTCTTGTCTCTCTTGCTTCTCTTCGTAGGATGATAGAAGCCCGAGAAGGCTTTGAGTGTATCTAGGAGGGTATTGAAGCCGTGGAGATGTCGAAAGTTATCGTTGGCCTGGGACGTCCGGGGCGCGGCAATGAGATATCTGCGTAGGGATTGGGTCTGATCTATGATGGCAGAGAGGTCGGGGTATGTGCCGCCGGAGCCAGGACGAAGCGTGGCGGAGAGAGTATCGAGGAGGAGTTGCAGTTCGGCGGTGGCTTTGGTGCTCTCTGGCGGATTTGACGCAGCCGTCGAAGAGCGCTGCCGCCGAATTCGTGCTGACATTCTTCTCCCCGTCCCCACACTCCGGGAATGATCAAGACTCTTGCGTGTGCTTCATCGGTCTCACGCCCGTGGGAGTTCTAGGCAGAGGCAGAGCTCGATTGTCATCGAATCTGGCCGGCCCGGTGGTTCGGAATGGTAGAAAAGTGGACGGGGTAGCTGCAGGGTGGTTGTGTTCTAGATTCGCTGTGCAGGACAGACGGCTGCAGGAAAGGACAAGTTTGTTTTATTTGCAGTTGGATCGAATCGTGGGATTATTGGAAGCCCTGCGTGGTGAGGCTGAGTATTTGGGGTCTGGAGCATGATGATTGATCGGCCTCGCGAGTTTCGAATGCACGGGGGGTCTGGTCCGCGCGGGGCGACCGAGGAGTGGGTGGAGAAGCCGTGTCCGCAGGTGAGACGAGATACTATTCATTTTTATTGTTCTCCAGCTAAAGTGCGATGATAAGCACATGTACTCTATGTTGCGCATTTCCTTCCTCCCTTCCTTCTTTCTATACTGAACAGCTACTTGGTACTGTGGTATTCAAGAGCCGTCAAGGCCGGGGGATTTGCACGGGGGACCTATTTTAGTCGCACCCCCACTGCCTCCCCTCGAACGAGCAGGCTGTGGCGCACGCAGTCGATCAGAGAGGTATGTGTGGTCATGTGATGTATGTGTTGTGGAGCTATGGATATGTCTTACTACTATAGTACCAGTATGCCCGAATACTGTATGTATCATTGTATGGAGAGGTGTGAAGCGACAGTCGTGGATGTGCCGTCCTTAGCGAGGGTCACTAGCTGTACGCAGTACTTATCACTCCTCGCACACCATCGATTGATCATCATCCTCTCACCCAATTATCTCCCGGGCACGTGAACGGAGCCAAGAAATGGGGGGGGGGGAGGTGTGGATGATGGTGGTCACGTGGCGCTACTCGAACGTCACAAGCGGAGCCAGCCTTTCCTGGATCTGGTCCTGGCGGCTGGATGGAGGAGTCATGCGACCAATTGTGCTTCTGTCTGTCTCAGGCAGAGCAAGACAAACAAACAGCCAGCCGCCGTGTCCGGAGAGCCACCGCAGCTGGAGACGGACGAAGTGCGGCGAGAGCCTTGTAAGTTGTCTGGCTTCTGTCCTTGAAGCCAGCATGCAAGTGGTGCTTTCACGCGCAGCCGTGCCTGGACAGCAAGTGACCAGCGCATGTCATTGCTACGGAAGAAGGCGGTGGCGCTGGCGCTGGTTGGATGGATGGATGGATGTGGGCGGAGCTTGGGGAGAGGGCGCAAGGCAGCAGGAAGGGCTGCTGGCTGCGGCTACGAAGCTCGAAGCTCGCCTCGGTGTCGGTGTCGGTGCCCCAGCAACTGAGTACTACTGTAGGCCCTGAGAGTGCTGTTGAATAGATAAAACAATTGAATAGGAAACCTGTTTGCAACTCATAGATGAGAGCCATGAATCATGCTTGCTTGCGTTCTTTCCCCTTCACGAGTGGAAGACACAATTGCAGGTCTCTGCTCTGCTCGCTCTGCTCTGCTCTGCTCTCCTCTGCCTCACTTATCGTCCAGAGTCATGCTCGAGATAAGCTTCCGAAAACGGCTAGCCGCCCCGTGCTTAGCCGGTTCGGGCTTCGCCCCATTCGTTGGCCTCCATCGCCATCCGTCACCATCGTGTGCTCCCTCGTGCTCCCTCGTGCTCGCTCCTCTCCCTCGTCCTCTTCTATCACAACAACTCCCTCATCCCCCACCACTCCCATCCCCCCCCCGAAGACAGCATCAACACCTGTCTTCACCCCCATCTACAGTCCATCAATCGACCGTCGCAGGCAGACACTCCTTCATTTCCGCATTATTCTTCTCTTCATCGACATGCGCGGGCTTATCGGCTACTCGCTATTGCCGCTGCTGGCGTCATCGGCACCCACCTTCAGCACAGAGACAATCCACGACGGAGTTGCTCCTCTGATCTCCTCCTCAAATTCAGTTGAGGTGCCCGATTCCTACATCGTCGTCTTCAAGAAACACGTTTCCGAGGCTGCTGCCTCGGATCATCACAGCTGGGTGCAAGACATCCACCTCAACAACGCGAACGAACGAACCGAGCTTCGAAAGCGATCGCAATTTCCCATTACGACCGATATCTTTGAGGGTCTCAAGCATACCTATAATATTGCAGGGAACTTCTTGGGTTACTCCGGCCATTTCGATGACTCCGTCATTGAGAAGGTCCGAAGGCATCCTGATGTAAGTTGCTTCCGCAGAGCTTCATTTGCCCATCACCATCCTCCCCCATCGCCCTCTTCTCCAGGTTGAAACATTAAGACCTATTTTTTCCCTTGATCGGTCCCTGCTGCCTCTGGCTTCAGACCCTTGTTTGTCGTTATTGATACCCAAAACTGACATATCAATCAGGTCGAGTACGTCGAGAAAGATTCCGTTGTCCACACTTTAGGGGACACCGGAGAGCTTGAGAAGAACGCCCCATGGGGTCTCGCTCGTATCTCCCACCGGAAGAGCTTGTCATTCAGCGACTATAACAAATATCTCTATGCCGCTGATGCTGGTGAGGGGGTTGACGTGTACGTTATTGACACCGGAACCAACATCGAACATGTTGACTTCGAAGGCCGCGCACACTGGGGCAAGACTATCCCCGCCAACGATCCTGATGAGGACGGAAACGGACATGGAACTCACTGTTCCGGTACCGTTGCCGGCAAGAAGTACGGTGTTGCCAAGAAGGCTAATGTCTACGCCGTCAAGGTGCTCAAGTCCAACGGTTCAGGAACCATGGCAGATGTTGTCAAGGGTGTTGAATGGGCAGCCCTCTCTCACACAAAGAAGGTCAAGGATGGAAAGAAGGGCTTCAAAGGCTCCGCCGCCAACATGAGTCTTGGTGGAGGAAAGTCCCCTGCTCTCGATCGTGCTGTCAATGGTGCTGTTGAAGCTGGCATCCACTTCGCTGTGGCCGCTGGAAATGACAATGCCGACTCTTGCAACTACTCTCCCGCTGCTGCTGAGCTCGCCATTACTGTTGGCGCCTCTGCTCTTGACGACTCTCGAGCTTACTTCTCCAACTACGGAAAGTGCAACGACATCTTTGCCCCAGGTTTGAGCATCCAATCCTGCTGGATTGGCAGCAAATATGCCACCAACACCATCTCCGGTACTTCCATGGCCAGTCCACATATCGCAGGTCTCCTCGCATACTACCTCTCTCTTCAGCCATCCAAGGACTCTGCTTATGCCGTTGCTGAGATCACCCCAAAGAAGCTGAAGGATAACATTATTGCCATCGCTACTGAGGGTGCGTTGACCGACGTTCCAGCTGACACCAAGAACGTGCTTGCATGGAACGGCGGTGGATCGTCCAACTACTCTTCTATCATCAAGGCTGGCGGATTCTCTGTGATGGCCACCAAGGAGTCTAGGTTACCAACCACAGTTGAACTCTTGGAGGCAGCCATTGAGAAGGATTTCAACATGATCTCTGGGGAAGTCGTCAAGAGCAGCGAGTCCATGATCTCCAAGACTGAGAAGCTTTCCAAGAAGATCCAGAAGATGGTGGACGAAGAGCTCAACGAGTTCTTCGAGGAGCTCAGCTTTTAGAAGCCGACTGACAGTATACAAGTACCATATGCGGATGTTACATTGATGCGCTTGGACATGGATTTCCCATTCTTTTGTCGCCGGAGCATGATCTTGGGCTGGACGGTGGTTTCCTACTGTATGCATTTTGATTACCGGTTTCCTTGCGTCGCATCCTCATGGTTTCTCTGTTGTATTGCACAATAGACCACTGCTGAATTGTATCAATGACCCTCTTTTGACTTCCTCTTTCCATGCGACTGGGAATGGTGATCATGTGTGAAGAAGCCCTCCCGAGTTAATAAATAACATAAGAACCGATGGTTAGGTCCATCTGGGTAGTACCTTCCCCTCTTACTTCATGTTGGTCTTGCGAAAGAAGGCTTGCGCCTTCCCAAGTGAACAAGTCTCTCACCAGCTTCCTGGCCTCGTTCTCATTCTTCTTCAAGCTCTCGTCTTACTTTTTGGTTAATACATGCATGCGACAACGGCAGCACCTGTATCGCATTCTACAAGTTTTAATTTCAATTAGTTCATTCCCGAAACAATTGCATCTACAAGGATGCTCAGACGGAACAACTCTGGTCGACTAAGTCGGAGAAAATCAACATCATCAGTTCACAGCAAGCATGAATCCCTCGATCCGGCGGTTGCTCGTCAACATGCGCATACAGCGGCGACGTTAGCCTTCGCTCGAGCACAGGAGAGGAGTAGTGCTGATGTTGGGCACAGCGGCAGCAATCTCCAAAATAACATCGGCTTCGTCCCGGAGCGACAGCCACTTTCACAGCAGACCAATTCTGCCAACGGCGACCATGTAATCAAGAGGCAGCACAGCGTTCGCTTTGCTGGACCGCATGCCGTACAGCGACGGCAGTCGATTGGGTCTCGAGCTGCACAACGCCCCTCGCAAGAATCGCGCGCTCCAAACCTGAGGCCAATTGCGATGACAACAAACGCTGCTGTACCAGCAGCTTATCGACCTCCGAGTCGTTCATCATCAATTGGCAAAGCTTCGATGAGCAAGGCAACGGCCGAGAACACCCTATCAATTGCGCCATATGTCGAATACTACAACAATGAAGAAGATGCCCCCTCTACTCCATCGTCGTACCGCCGACTTCGACGGTCAAAGTCCATGTTCAGCCCTCTCAAAGCCCCGAGCGTCTTTTATACCAACGGTACTCCAGACCGACCGGAAAGTTCATACATTGGCCGTCAGAACAACCTCTCGCATTCCAGGACCCCCCAAAGCCCACCTCGACAGGCTGCTTTACGGGCACCAAAGTCCATGAGTTTTTTGCGAGGTGGCCAGGCAATCTTCGAGCGAAATGACGAAGCAGTACAGATGGCTCGGGACAGATTCTTTCACGAAACGGCACAGCAGAGGCTGCGTGAACAACCATCCTTTCTCTTCCGATCGAAGGCACAGAGGCAAGAGAAACCTTTCAGAAAATCAGTCCGCTCCAGCAGTGGCAACAGCTACGGTGCTCCAGTCTCTTCCGGCACCCAAGCTCATCCTTCCACGGAGTCTAGCTTGAAGGTTGCGGCTCGAAGGGCTTCTAAGACCATCAAGAGCAAGCTCCGGCGAGTATTTGGGCGCAGCAAGGACGAGTCAGTTGCAGTTCCGAATCAACAAGTTGATGCTCGCGAGACGCATGTCCGCCAATATAACGGCGATCCAGGTACGGTACACCAAGAGTTCTCGGATATTCCCCACCCAGATGAGGCCGCAATCTCACGTGTCGCCTCCCGTGTACCTTCACTCCACAATGCAAACTCGAATCAGCAGCTGAGATCGCATGCCGGAAGCGTGAGAAGCATCAGAAGCTCAAAGAGTGGACAGAGCGATGATAAGTCACGTGTGACAAGCTGGAACAGCACTGGTGTCAATATAATGGTCAGCCAGACTCCTAGACCATACCTGGATCGCGAGCAACAACGACTTTCCATTATAAATGAGACTGGAACACACATTCCCTCCTCCTCCTTCACTCGTCCGAGACTGGTCAATCAATTCCCGGGATATCCAGCTTCCCACAGACCAAGTAAGAGCACTGGCCACGTCCCAGCCCCTGGCCAAGGCCTCGTTGATAGTGCACGAGTCTACTCTGCATTGATGAAACGCCTCGATGGAAATAGTCCGAAAGCCAGAATTGAAGCTTCGCACAAATCGAGCATGGAAAACTTTGCTGTCTCAAATCGGCAACCACTCCAAAGTAGTTCGGTTGGCAGTAGCCGTGGCAATCGAACTCCAACAACAATTAGGCATGTATTGCCTGAGGAGTCTACCGGCGGTCGCAAAAGCCGTGGTTCTGAGCAGCACGATCACCAGTGGGCCAGAGCAGACTCGATCAATTCTGCTCGTGCTGAGGACGTCTTCGGATTTGCTGGAAGTCATGTACACCAGTGGGTTGCAGCAGATCCCCTTCGGAAGGCTAGGATGAAGCATCCAGACGATGTGTTCTCACCAAAGAACGGCCCAGGGAGCAAGGAGAATGTTCCCCCCGTTGAGCAACCCCAAGAGCGAGGACAACTGACTGCTTCAACTTCGGGGCTCTCTCGTGAAGCGAGCACAAAAATGTCCTATCATACGGTTCCAGAGACCTTTGGTTTGACCCCACAGGAGCTCGCCGTTCGAAATGAGCCCGTTGTACAGAGCACCAAAGTCTTGCGCGAGTCCAGATCAACCTTTTTCGGTGGAACGTCTGTCACGATAGCTAGAACCACCAGTCCCTTCCGACGTGCCATGGCAGAAGAGTACAACACTGTAGTTGCCACGGACGACCCTCTCCCACCCGGCCAGGCGTCTCCGCTCAGAAATCCTCTTTACCTTGGTCCCGAAGCTGCAGTATCGGTGGATACCTTACCGAATGCAGCTCCGAATTCCGAGAAGGCATACAGTGAAAGCATATACTCAAGAACCACGAGTGGTCAGACTCCTGCGGCGGTGGACAGTGCTCTATCACTTCCAATTAGCCACCCGGAGATCCCGGAGATGCCGTTTCCGAGATCAAGTAATGGTGATGTTGTCATTATTGATAGAACGACGTATCGACCTGTGATGCCAAGTGGTGGCAGCCACCGCGTCACGGGTTCAACTGGATCGATTGAGTGGAAGAAATGGATGTCCTCGGAGGTCGCAAAACTGGAGAGGTCAAAGGAGAACGCAAGCACGTCTTATGTCAATTACACTTTGCCGACGATGCCAAAATCATTTCATGCCAAGCACGTGCGAGAAGCTGCTCAGATAAATGACGACGACGACGAGATTTCTCAACCGAAAGCTTATGTTGCCAAGCAGCCACTTGGCCTAGTTCAACAACAAAATCCAAACATTCCTAGTGCGCCGGCCCTGAAGCCAATTCTTAAGAATAGATCTGCCGTTTCGCTGGTCGAGAACACTGAAGTACAAAAAGAAGGCACCTCAACAATTCCAATACCACCACCACCTCCTCCGATTCCTGTCCGGTCCCCTCTCAGGCCTATGCCCTCCAAGTCGTCTCTGCGTTCTGTCGCTACCGTCAACACTTCCCGCACTGCGAGCGCACCCAATTCTGCTGTCAAAGTCTCAAGCTTGAGTGGCAGAAACCTATTGCACAAGAGGAATGGCTCCCAGACTACACTCCGCAGCACCAAGAGCGCAAGCATCAAAAGTGTCGAGACGCCAGCAAAACTAGTGAAGAGGGCCGGCCGTCCAATAAATGTCAATACCCCGAGTCCAGGCTTGGGCTTGGCTGTGGAGGGTCAATTTGGCTCTAGATCCACTAACTCGAGATGTAGAACTCCAGGAATTACAAACAGCGAGAACATCAAGGAAGAGAAAGATGATATATATGGAACAGAAGGTGCTGGGCTTGTGGGGCCTAGGATGAGTGCAAGTGATCTGGAGGCTCAAGCGCTTGGAAGTAAAAGGATGGTGGAATTATTTTTGAGTTCGAGACGTAGGAGAATCGCAGGTGGAAGTGAGGAGAGTGGAGCCGTGTTTTTGTAGTATTCTGGTTGAATCACTATTTCCATTGGTGCTTGGGGGGCAATTGGGTTATTGAGGGAAGACCGCCTTTTGTATCTTATTCATGCGCGGCATAACGTTATGGTTTGAAAACGAAAATACAAATAGACTTGGGCATTGGGCATTGGCAAGGGGCATTGGTTAGAGGAATCGGAGCCCCCCAGAAAGACGAAAATTTTCGTTCTTGAGAATAGATGAAGTTTATAGGAAACCGGCGCGGTGCAATAACTGGGTGTGCTTCTCTCGTGCGCTGTACTGTTTCGAAATGGGCACAGCGAAGGGTGGATTAGTCGAATTGGGATCGATGCTGTAGGAAAAGCAGGGCTGAGGCCGAAACAGACCACACTAAATGAAAACTATTATCTATCGATGAATCATCCCTCGCGCCAAAAGGCCCCTCGTTTGAAAAGTAGATGAAGAAGCCACCAGGTAGTAAATCGGGCCAACTCTCACTTGGTCTCCTGTATTTAAGCGAGACGAGAGAAACGAAGCGGGGTCCACTCAGGGGTAACACGCGATTTTCACCCAACACAACACAACGCACCGAGAAGCCGAACTGCTTGTTTGGACAATCAAATCAACTTTCGCAAAGCTGCAGCAAATTGCTTACAACAAATCACAATGCCGTGAGAAGAGCGCCCAATCCCTCACTCCCCAAAAACCCCGTCGAGACGTTTCCCCGCTATTTGGCTCGGGTCAAAAGTTGCCCAGCTCCATTTCACGGATGAGCTCACCCCACGCCCTTCTAAATGCTCCTCTCGTTTCTATAATAAAACAAGACATGCAACAAGAATATCTTTAGTCCTTCGAACCAAGCCTAAATTCACAGATACCGATAGAGGAAGGAAAGATGGTGAATGTTACAAGGGTTCGCTTCGAGAACCATGAGAATGCGATTGGGATTAGTGAGAGTGAACCGCGGGTCTCGTGGAGCTTTGAAAGTGAGGGGGACGAGAGAGATTGGGTACAGAGATCTTATGAGTCGGAAATTAGGAGGAAGAGTGGCGTTGAGAGGTTCAGAGGGGAGAGAGTATGCTCGTCCCATGGGTGGGGCGACCGTTAGTCTCAGGATAACGAGCTGAAGGTCGCGTACGGGCCACCGGTACCTTGGGATAAACCACAGAGTGGGCTGAGAGAGCAATCGTGGAAGCGGGACCCCTCAAGCTTGATGATTGGAAGTGTGAGGTCATCGAGCCTGCAATGCCTTATGTTACCGCACCTGGGAAGCCACATCGCCCTCTGGTTTTTAGACGGGAGGTGGAGGTGGGGCGGAATATGAAGGAGGCGGGATTGTATATCACGGCCCATGGGGTGTATGAAGCGGCAATTAATGGGAGGAAAGTGGGAGATCATATTCTAGCGCCTGGGTGGACGAGTTACGGGCACTGGCTGGTCTATCAGACGTTCGATTTTTCGGAGCACCTGGTTGTTGGCAGCAATACTATGGAAGTTGATGTTACTGAAGGATGGTACTTTGGGAAACTTGGGCGGGGGGTGAGAAGCTTGACTGGAGCGGCAAGCGGGCGGCGCCGCCCCCGCCCCCTGAACGAGCGAAGCGAAATAAATGTGGGGTCAGGGGCCTGGCGGGTCTGGGGGAATATTGATCCGGAGCCCCTCTGACTTCTGTACATCGACGCCTTCGACCCGAGGTAGATTTTAAAAGCGTTGAAGACGAGAGCGGGGTCGACTTTGAAAACGAAACGGGATTCTTGGAGACACCTCGGACAACTCGGACATATCTCTTATCCTCTCCTTCCCTCCCCTCCTCATCGGCCCAGTCCTTGGCACTCACTCGGTGGACTTCGTTCCATGAACGGAAAACTCGGCGTTTGATCTGACCTGGTTGAGCTCGCTCAGGAGAGGAGGCAAAGAAGAACCCGCTCGTTTCCGCTTTCTGGTGCACGAAAGTCTCCGACCCACTCCACGCTCATTCTGCACAGTGCGGGTCCCGTGACCTGTCGGCCGACCATCCAATCCCATCCAGTCCAATCCAATCCAATCCAGTTCAATCCAGTTCAGTCCAATTCAATCCAAAGTAAACGCCGTCTTTACAGTAGGTGTCTTCCCGGGACAAGCCTTCGGCCATCAGCCATCAGCCATCAGCCATCGGCCTGGCATATGCTCCCCATCTTCACTCCACGAGCCATTCCCAAAAGAAACGGCTTTTGAGCTGTGCCTCGCATCTCCGCTGCAGCCCTACCTGGGAATCGAGCCATGGAAGGATGAACCCGACGGAACGGCGCCCGCTCACTGCGGGGCGGGCCAGGATGCCCTAGATCAGTTGAGCTTGTCATGCTAATCAACGTTCGTGTCATCCTTACAAACATTGCCTCGCATCCAACGCTGGCTCTCTCCCCAGTACAGCACTGGACTTTCTCGGCCGTTCTTAACAACCCTTTGAGGCAGCGGCTCTAAAAATCACCCGAGTTTGGCATCTGGCACGCGGGGACCATGAATGCCAAGGAAGATCTGGCTAGGAAGAAGAAAACAACTGGATGTAGAAGTAATGGCGGGTGTCAGACCTGCAGGTGAGCGTTTGGTCCTTCTTTCATTTGTCGATTCCGCGGCGTTTTGCCTGGATCATCAAGAGCACACTTTGCTGGGCCACCAAACGGACACCGGCAAATTCCCACTCGTTCAAGGGAAGGCACTGAACTCTGCTAATCTCACGGCGGTGACAGGATACGTCGTATCAAATGTGACGAGACGAAACCTTGCTGCTTGCGATGCACACGGACTGGGAGATCCTGTGACGGGTATGAAAGGAAGATCACCCCAACTTCTCGAAAGGCTTCTCATAAATCCCTGCTATTACGGAGACACATTCTGCAGCCGATACCTCTGGAACCCGAACCGTGTCCAACCGGTCTACCAATCTCGATCGCTTTCCAAGATCAGGAGGAAGCCCGCTACTTTCGATTCTTCTATCACGAGACCGCAGATGCCCTTGCTGGAGGATTCGACAGTCCGTTGTGGAAGCGGATTGTTTTCCAAGCGTGCCACGAGGAGACATCCATTTTAAATTGCACTGTTGCGATTGCCGCGTTAGACAGAGCTTGCAGAGACGCAGGTTCAAAATCACCCTCGAGAGCGTCCGAAGCACATCATCGATATGCGCTTTCTCAGTATGGCAAAGCCCTGAAAGGAGTACGAGAAGCTATTTCGTTGGGAAAGGATTCTCTGAGAACTGCTCTCATCGCTGCTCTGTTAATTTTCTGCTTCGAAAACTTCCATGGAGACGTGCGATTAGCCTTGATCAACGTTCGCAGTGCACAAGAGCTGATGCATAACTGGCTCGAGAGCAAGGGAGAGCCTGCAACACCGAGAGGATTTTCGCCAGCACCGTTTGTTATTGAAGACGAGATGGTTCAAGCCTTTGCCAAATTGGACATCCATATGCTTACCTGGATCGACATTCCAACATCCGCACGGAACCCCCGCAACAGAGTACCCGACGTTCAATCAATGCCAACCAGCTTCTGTTCCCTAGCTGAAAGTAAATATTACTTTGACATCACCTCCGCCCGAATCTTTCACCATTTATCGGCTGTGCAGGAAGGCAGGCAGGATGCCGCGCAGTCATTGCTCACCCCTCCCTATGACGCATGTCAGATATCCCCCGAAAATTTTAATGAAGTAGAAGAAGAGCTTCTTCACTGGGAATCGGCATTCGCACCCGTACTGAAGCATTCGAGGAGCCCAGAAGGAGAGAAGGACTTTGTAGGAGCTACCCTTCTGCGCATTCATGCCTTGACCCTCAAACTTTGCATTCGAGCGACAAGACTTGAAAGCTCCGGTCCGCAGTCATACGACGTCTTCCTCCCAGAGTACTGCGAAATCGTCGGCCTGTGTCAAACAGTCACAATCCACCCACGATTTGTGAAGTCCTACGTGTTTGACGTTGGAATTGTGCCAATTTTGTTTCTCGTGGTCGTCAAGTGTCGGGACAAGATGGTTCGATGGGAGGCGATCGCGGCGTTGAAAGCTGCTAGTCCAAGAAGAGAAGGATTGTGGGACAGCATGATGGTTGCAAGAATTGGGGAGGCATTGGTGAAGGCCGAAGAAGAGAATTCTGGGTTCTCACCGGAACAATGGAACGATGTCCACCTTCGATGCATGAACATCAGTTGTCGCCTACCCAGCGCCTCTCGGAGCGCCAAACCAAGCCTTGAAAGCTATGAAAAGAGGATTTGTCTTCTTGATTGGGTTGAGAGCAGCATGAGGATAACGCTGTATCTATGAGAGATCGGTTGTGATTTTATACAATCAAGGAAGCTGGTTGTCTTAGCGAGTTGACAGGCGAGGTCCGATGAAGCTCTGCGGAAAACCATCTCGCATTCGGTTGCTCGAGAATTGGAATTTTCCTGCGGATTCAGATAGTCAGAGCTGGAGACGCCCAAGCTCTATTCATTTGACTTGTTGGCAGAGCTCCCCCCACCGACAAGGTGGGCTGACTTTGCCGTTAGGGCCCAAACATTGGGACAGTCAGTTCTATGCCGCTATGTAAGGGCCACAGCCGCAATTTAATAGAGGGACGAAGAACAACTGCACGTCTGAAGTGCAAGCAGAGAGGCTGAAGAGCGTTGCATGGCAACTCTGACTGCTGGTGGTCGAAGACAAGAGCTTTACAGAGTGCGAGATACCCTGACACGCGCCTCCGTTTAGTCGTGGTACACACAAAATTGCGCCCGCACCACCAAAAACACACTTCACTTGCAAATAACCCCACATTTAATTAATAAAAAAAATATAAATAAATTACCAGGCCATCACTTGACCATAGCCATCAATATAGTCTTTGTATCTACGTGGAATAGTCTTTATAAGCTCACACGTGCCTCCGCTTAGTCGTAATACACTGTTACGTGGCACCAGTCACGTGGTGCCACTGCACGTGACTTAGCGTGTAGCCAGTGCTTTTAGCCGGGCGCACAGCCTTCAGCTCAATTCAAGCTCTTTACCACCACTGCAATATCACCTTATCGTGACATACACACCCGCCAAATTTGTTAGCGAATCGAGCCTGAAAGTCAAGTCCCTTATTGATTTATTATACAGCTAAGACACTTGGCTTTCCCCTAAAACTTATATCGAACGATATATCGTCTATAGGGCTATACTCTGAAATTTTGTAAAAATTTATTTGCAAATATTGTGGGAGTAATTATAGAAAACGTTAATTTTCGGGCCAGACTTTGGTGTATCACGACTAAGCGGAGGCGCGTGCCTGAGCCTGAGCCTGAGCCTGAGCCTGTGCCTGTGCCTGTGCCGAGGTTCTGCCACGCTCACTGATGCAATATGACTTTGGAACCCCTGTCGCTCGCTAAGAAAAGGGGTAAAATACCTCCGTCACAGATATCCCAAGAGCTATGCAACCCCTGAATATCTTCAATAACATATTTCAATATTTGAAACATCTGCTTTCGAGTCTACCTTCGTACCTTCATCAATGTAATTGCGAACAGTTTCATCACATTTCTGGAAATGTTAGCAGTCATGTCTCTTGCCTCAAAATTTGTTTGCTGTGCCACCGGATAAAATGTCTTCAATCTCCGGTGTTGATTAACTTGTGAAAATGAAAGTGGCGCGTCTTGCTGATGGATGGCAATAATCTCATCTTCAATGAGTCACGATGATCTTCAACACTAATTTTCCGCGAACATGATGGTGAGGTTTAGATGGATCTTCGCTGTCTTGTTGGGCTTTCTGGCACGGGCAACGATTGCGGCCAATGATTTCACTTACACCGGGTCCCCAGTCGCTGGCAAGCCATTCACAATCACATGGGCCCCAGGAACCTATTCCACCATCGACATCCTGTTGTATTCTTTGACTGGATATCCGTCTTATGTACCAACGATAGCCATTCCCATTTCTCGTAAGTGAGAAAGAGCCTGGCTGCATACCTGCATCCCGAGTCCTGTGAACAAACCAAGCGCTAATGATATGCAGAGGGGATTCCCAACTCGGGAAGCTATGTCTGGAATGTCCCAGCAAGTCTTGGAGGCTTTTACTGTCTTTCCATAGCCAGAGACTTCAATTTCCCCGTTTCGTACAGTCCTAAATTTGCCCTTGGACCGTATACGTTCAGCTCCATCGACTATGCTACCTATACATCGGTTCCGCAAACGACAACCTGCACTTCTGCACTCCCTGTGCCAACAGGGCCCAATCCCTTCGTGACCCCCGCCGACAAAAACGGCGTCATGCGTGTCGGTGTTGCAACTAATATCCAATGGCAGCCGACCACCAAAGGCACCGTCTCCTTGATTCTGAATCCCTCGATGTCAAATTCATACATGATCTCATCGGCCACCATCCTGAGTAAGTTTTCCCTTCCCTGTGCAATTCGAACTTGTTAATCAGATAGAAAACATCTCAAATTCTGGATCCTTTGCCTGGACGCCTCCTAATGACAGTACCCTAGATGGCACAGGTGCTGGTGGCTGGTACCTCACTCTTGTGGATGATACTACAGGCGCAACGAGCATCTCTCCTAGCTTCAACATCTTACCTCCTGACAGCCAGGATGAATTCATTGGTCCCTACGCTCCTCTAGTTGTTGGACAGAGTCACACGTTCAACTGGTCTCCAAGCACAGCATCAACAATCTCGCTGTTAATCATCAGAGATTCCCCACATGGAGCCAACGTCACCTTAGCAGGTCTGGCTCCTTTCGCATAGTCGTTGAAAGTAGGCTAACCAATTCCATCAGATCGTATCAAGAACACCGGGTCCTTCAGCTGGACCGTCCCACCCTCAGATCCTTTCATCATACCCGGCGAATGGGTATTCGCCCTCGTAAACGACGCAACCGGAGCCACGGACGCTATGATCTACCTCGTGGTCGATGCTTCAACTCCTGCAGTCTGCGGGTAAGCCTCCATCTCCATCCATCCCTTTCCCACCACCACTAACCTTCCCAGTCCCCAAACATCCGACGCAGTAGACTCCGAAATCGCCTCCTGGCGCAGCGCACTGACAAAGAATGACCCGGTCTCCACACCCGCAACACCTACAACTACCGACTCTGGACTTCTTGCAATACTTGCATCATACAGCTCGGCGAATGCGGCGAAGATCACAAAAGTCACGCCGCATGTTCTTACGACGCTGAACCCGTCGAATACGGGCACGAAGGTGGGGCAACCTTTTCAGAGTCCGGGCGCGGCGGGAGGGGTGCTGAGTTCGACGAGTAGGGCGGGGGCTGCGAATGGGAGAGGAGGGGTGAGGGGGGGTACGGGGATTTGGGAGGTGAGCTCGGGGGTCTTTGAGTTGTTTGTAGGGGTTTTGGGTGTATTTTTATGACCCGGTAGATGTTTGGGAACGAATCATACTTTTAATCGAAATGATTTTATGAGCAGAGAAGACTGGAACTCTATTCAGTTCAGCGTCTTGTTGCAATACATGCGAGAGTTCATAATACACTCACTTTACGATGAATCTTCGATACAATCAATCACCGTTAATTGGTGGCACCTCCATCTTTCTCTGTCCCTAGTCTCAGCATAAGACTTACATTTCAACAATATGAATGCCAGTCATCAGCCCACTGAGCCCCTGGGGGTAGTGTTGCCACCAAATCTGTGCGTGAATGGCAGCCACGCTCCCTTAAACCTTCATCATCGTCAAGTTTGATCTCTTCATCTGCAGCATCTATCTTGAGTTCATTGCCGATGTCTTCAAACTGTTACTCACACTCGATGTCCTCACGTTCGACCGGTAGGCCAAGACTGACTGCTCCGACTCCCCACTCACAGGACCTCTCGGTCGGTCTTGATGTTTGGTTTTCTCGTCATGTTTCGTGGCCACCAGCAGACTTTGGAACCAGTTGGACTCGGGATCCTTCGAAGAGATGAGATGATCAGGTGAATGGGTATTCGCCTCAACCAATTGAAGCGCCTTTCTCCTTCCGAGCCAAGTTGCGTAAAGCCGCAATTAGTAGCATTCAGTCCTGGGCAATGAAGTTGCGTTGTTCTTGCTGCTTGCCAAGTTCACTGTAGAAAACCCAGGAGTCAGCGCAGGTCAATGGTGAACAGTTTGGGGTGGGATAGCTCAAATGAATGGCCCAGCACTTGCAGAACGAGGGAAATTGTATATACAATCAACGGGCTGCTTGTCCTCAGTTATCGAGAACTTGCGATAATCAGATTCGGATATGTTGGGTTTCTCAACGACTTACTATTCTTTCTCATACTCCTCGGCGTTGAAAGAAGTCTCCGGCGTTAGTAATTGCCTAGGGGTTTTTACTTGAACGTTTCGCCGTCTGAGATTGCTGTTTGATGTTTGCTTCACAACCTTGTAGGGGGAAGTTCGGACTCTGTGGCCGCTCGAAGCTTCCGATGCCGAGTTTTGCATCTGGAAATTCGTGGAAAGGTCCTGCTCATCCCTTCCGATTGGTGATCCGGTGGCGATTGGAATTCCGTTGATAGTCTCTGTTTCGGCCTCTGTTTCAGCCTCGATGGTTGACAGAAATATCCCAAGTGCTCCGTTTTCGGTCGGTGGTGGTATAAGTAGCGAGGAAGTGGCGCTTCGGAGAGCTTCTTCAACATCCCCACCCGCACTTGAGAATGATGTCTCTGGACTAGGTAACATTATCCCCGATCTTGCCCTTGGCACCAATGCATCCTCGTTGGCTACCTCTCTTTCAATCTCTTTGCTTGACATAACCATCTCAAGAAATGCTTCGTGTTCGCTCAATGTCTCCTCGAATGGATCGAAGGAGGAAGCAGCGCTGCCAGGTGTTTGTTCAATCTCTCCATCTGTCTTCGAAAACGACGTCTCCGGACTGGGCAAAATTCTCTCGAGGACTTGCTCACTATTCACGTTCGCAATCGAGAATGATGTCTCTGGACTGCGCGGCGTTCTATCCACTGGTTGTGGCAGCAGTGCAGTTCTAGCAATCACCAGATACCGAATCTGAGTTCTGCAATCAGAGAGTGCGCGATGTTTCTGTCCATTTTCGACCTCCTTGACGAATTCTCTCCCGGTCATGATTTTTGCTTGTTGGACGAAAGTCCGAACGCACATATTGTTGTAAAACATCCATGGTCTCTCCATTTTACAGGATTTGTAGGCACTGGTGATCCAGCTGAAAACTTGTAATTAGTTGACCCGGTTTTCCCAGCATTTGGAATATTTGAATATCTGGAGGCAAGGAAGATACGAAGAAGCTTGGGAAAATGCCATAACTTGTGAGACGTTCGAAAGAAAAGACGGGTTTAAATGTCCTCGGGCAATCTGAAAACTGGAGAGAATGCATTTGAGAGTATACATACACATTATCGGCAACAGCACCATTTCCCCATATCATTGGTTGGGTGTACTTCCGTGGAGGAGACCTTCTCTCCAGCGATCTCAGCGTCCTCTGGCAAGACTCATTCACAAATTTTGTGAACTCAGAGAGCACACGCTCAAGCGGGATCTCGCTGGCTTTGCTCTCAAGTAGTGTCTGCTTTAGGATCGGGTCTCTTTTTAGGAACTTCGTGGTCTCCCCATCCTTCCCATCAACGATGTCATGGACAAGGCCATGATCCAGACAAGATTGGTAACTGATAATGGAAGTGTAATGGCCCAGTTCTTCTCCGGTGTCGATGTCAAACTGCACTGCTCCCAGCTCAATTAGAACAGGATTGTAAGCCTCGACGCTTGCGCATTCAAGGTCGAGCATGATATTTGTGTACCAGTCCCTTTGCGCCATTTCGAGCGAGTTTCGACGGTGGTGCGGACGGTGCAAGAGCGATTGAACGGGCCCAAAATCCAAAATCAACGTGAGAGATCGTGCAGAGAAACAATTGAGTGTATTCAAAGATTGAGAGCAACGCGAAGCGAAGAAGAGAGGAAGAATCACGAAGTGCAAATAAGATCGACGTGGGACGTGACAGCGCTAAATTGGAGCGCTACAGGAGGACGAATTGGAGGTTTTAGCGAGCGCCATTTTCGAGTCTTCGTGCCCCTAATCGTACCTCCTTGCGCAGTGAGAAGCTTTTCAACGGCGCTTAGATCATATTCTACAAAGAGACGGCTCTGATATGGCACTTGAAGATGCACAGCCGGGACGGCTTTTCTTGATATACTATACCTTCGGACGACTTTTTGCCAGACTTTCCCCTAATATGATATACATGAGACGGCTGACAAAGGTGATTGGGAGAAGGTTATTGAAGTAGCGGTCAACATCTGCATTACGAAGGATTGAAGGAAGCAAGTTTTCGAGACAATGAGAACAGGAATAAATGAGAGACTTATATTGCCAAGCATGTCGTAGCTCTGAGATCAGAGAGAGAAGTCTCCTTCAGTCACATGATCTAGTCACAGATCCATCACTCCCGTCTCCTTGGCTCTTACATTTTCTCATACTCTCTCGATATCCTGCGAAGTTGCAGAGAAAATTTGAAACAACCCATACTTCCACCGGCCCCAAATCCAAGTCCCTGTGCGTCGCTGCGCATCCCGCACCACTGCTCTCCAGTTGCTTCCCTACTCACTAATCACGTGTAACACAACCACCCTCCAACTGGTACTCGCGAGCTCGATTCCTAATCCAGCGATTTCTAAGCAACCCTCATTTGACCACTCGCATCATGAACCGCAAACTCAAGCACACACCACACCCACACCCACACCCACACCTACACCACACGCTCTCTTCGTTCCGATCCTCGTCACCAGCCAAGCCACCCGTCAGCACGACACATCCGACATGCGGAAACGTCCTCAAGCGCCGATTTTATCACCGACCGCCTTATCTCCGTGTAGATGAATAACTGTATAAATAACACCACCCTTTTGGTCTTTACCCCCGATTTGAAATGCAAGACATTTGAAAACTATTCCCAAAGAAAAGACTCATATCGAAAAATGACAAGCACAACATCACTCGGCTATTATCTAGTGTACTGTCCGACAGTAATGCTGGCAAGCTGCTACAAAGCCGTCAAGGGACTTGGGCACCACGATGCGAATCCAAATGCGAAACGGTTGCATAAGGAGAAGGGGCACAAAGTGTTGAAAGTTGAGACTTTGTGAGGTGAAAGTCGGGGCTGCAAAGGAGTTTGGGGTTTGTCTTTGGGTGAGTTGTGGTTCCCATCGTATCCAGAGAGTTGGGGCTGATTATGAAAGTAGGGATTGAAAATCGCGACCTCACTTGTACCATTAAAACACTACGAAGCTACGAAGACACGGCCCACATGTACATTTGAGAACCGGAAAAGGCGCACGGATAGAGGAGCATTACACGGCGTTAAAAAGTACTTCGGAGGGCCATGGTGAAACTGGACGCATTTTCGATTTTTCTGTAATTACGTATTATCTTCCTCGTACAATCTTGCTCGCAACCATTTTATGTACGTCGAAGAAAGAAGTAAAGTTTTATACAAGAAGTCCGACATGCAAGGAAAATATACGCTTTAAGTGCGTGCGTGTCGATGCGATATGGCACCAGAAGTGGACAAATCCACCCATCATCAATCAGGCAACCAAGTGACCACCCCCAACGATATCTCCCTGCCATTTTGTTGCCATTCTCTCGTTGACGCCAACCTACAAAATGAAATGCGATCTCCGTCGTGGAGAATGAATTAGTCGTCCAGCCTGAAGATCCGTCTCAGCGCACCGAATTTCTTCTTCCTTCTGGGCTTGCCAATGCCGTTGATGTCGACGTCTGCTAGCCCTGTTGCTGTGAATCTCCTCGAACCCATATCTGGCCTGTGGCCGTTCGTAAGCTCGCCTCCTACAATTCCATCGGCCGTATCGGGTCGTCCTTCTTCTCCCCCTACAATTGTCGGCGGGCTCGTTGGTTCTGGCAATGGCCAAGCACCGCTATTCTGTCTGCTGGGTCCATTGCGCTTTTGCAATTTAGGTGTTGCCGGTCGGTCACCGCGCAAAACAGCTAGATCCGATTTACTTCGTTCCAGAGGCGTGTCACGACGAGCTGGCGATTCAGCGTCTGACTTTCTGACTTTGGAGGAAGGATCAGGTTTCTTGCGACGAAGGATAGACATGAAGCTGCCACGACGAGAGTGGCTTGGACGCGATGCTGGCCCAGTGATAGTTGCTATTGTAGTTGGAGAACTAATTGTCTCACGTCCTGATCCAGATCTTCGCAATGATCCAGAAGCGAGTGCTGTACCTTGAGTAGGGGTAATTGCTGGTCCGTTCGTGCCACGCTTCTTGGCCAATTTCAACCCTCCGGATGGTTTCTCATCATCGGAATCGGGCAAGTCACTCGAATCGCCATCTTCAGCACCGGCACGTTTGGGTATCCCTCGGACCGGAGCATCGACAGGTTTCGACCGCATTGATCGAGGCATAACAATTGGTCGTGAAATTGGTTCATCCTCATCGCTGGAATCGTTAAATCGGCTTCGAAATGCTGGTCGATCGTCTTCTTCGTCACTCGAGTCGGCGAAGCGACTTGTACGTTGAGGCGCCTTCTGCTTGGTCTGTTTGGAGCCCCGGGACTTTCCAAAGCCAGGCATTCGCGTGCGGAGAGATGACGTTGAATCCGAAGAACGGCGCATTGAGCTTCGCATATGTGTCTGAGAAAGGGCAACTGGAGAGGCAGCACTGCTAAAGGGTCGCCGGATTGCAGAACCAGTAGGAGATAAGGAGCGAAGGCTAAATCTGCTTGAGCGCGGCGGTGATTGAGGGCGTCCACCAAAGTTCTGTTCACCAGAATTCCGCATCGAGCGTCTGAAGTTCGATCCATCAGTTGATGGTCTGGTGCGCTTGAAACTGCTATCAGAATCCCCAGAGTTCTTTCGCCGAAGGGGTGGCGGCGCTAAGTCTCTCTTTGCAGCGGCTGGAGCAGCAGCTGCACTGGCTTCTGAAAAATTCCTGATGTGCTTCTTGACTGCAGCGGGATCTGCCTTGATTTCTTCCGCGGGCAATGACACTGGATGATGCTTTTTCTGTAATGATCCTCGCAATGATCCTCGCATCGTGTCTCCACTCCTCATCGATGTTCGCATATGAGTATCCGCGCCTGTGTTCCGAGGTTCTGGTCGCATTGAAGATCTCATGGGTGCATGCCCATTCGGACCGGCCCTGGAACCTGGCTGTATCATATAGTTCCGTTCATTGGCCATGGTGGGTTGAGCCCGTACAGTAGGTGCAACAGGAGCAGGAGGCTGGACGACCGCAACAGGCTTCTTCTTTTTCTTTTTGGGCTTTGGGATTGGCTTGACTTCAACCTCGGTATCGGATCCGGAGTCTTCAGCTTGCTTGCGCGCGTCTAGTTCCAATTGTCTCTTCTTATCAGCAGAAAGACTACTCCAGTACTCCTGCGCCTTGTCCCAGCCCTCACCAAGGTCTGGCTCGCTCGATTCTTTTGACAACTGGCTTTGCCTGAAAGCCATTTCTTTTGTTGATCTTGGGGTGGGGCTTTCAGGCGAAGTTGTAACGGCGACACCCGGTACTGCAGTATTGACTATCGGATGGCTGACAATTGGACTTTCGACCACAGCATCCAGAGATAGGAAACCCCCCTCAACATCTGAAAAATCTTCATTTGCATCGCTGTAAACACTTGTTGCATCGGACTCTTCTGCTTCTTCAATGATAGCAGGAGTTGCATGGGAATTATTGAAGCAAGCCATCTCGCCCCCGTCGTGTTCATGAATTATTGGCGCGGTTTCCGCAATGCCAATGGCAGCCTGCTTTAGTTCGGCTGAGTAGTTGGGAACTGTTGTCGGCATTGGCGCGTCTTGCTGGTTATCTGAATCAGAGGAATCCCACTCTCCCGGCATATGCGGCATTCCACTCCGCGATTCTGTAGTCTTCAAGGTAGGTGTCGTATGAACAACAGCAATTTCAGGAACCTCGCCATTTGGGTTCTCTACTGGGTTGAGAGTTGGAGATGGAATCGGCGTCGGCGTGTCGTCTTCAGTCTCCACGTGTTCTGGCTCTGGTTCTGGTACAGGACTTGCTAATGATTTATAGCTGTCGGTATTTCCACCTTCAGGGCTGCGTTTAACGGTATCTGCTTGAGCAACTCCCACATCTGACTTGATATTCAAACTGTCTTCGCTGCTGTCGGTATCGGAATGGTAGCCGCTGCCTTCAACAGATGTGACCTGAGGAGGTAATGGCTCTCGAGACTTCGAGATGTTGGCCGCGTTCTTGGATGCAGCATCTTGGGAAATGATGGCTCCGACTACGTGGTCGTTGGACTGTCCCAATGGATACTCCATGATGTCCCCAGTTGGAGTTGTGAAGAGCGGTGGGGAGGACACCGATTGTTTGGATTCAACGGGTTCAGCTGGCTTCACCAATGGTCGCTCTTCAACCTCTCGGGTGTTCTTCTTCTCGCGGACACTCCCGAAAGAAGGTAATGCAGGTCTTGGCTTCATCACTTCGTCGTCATCGTCCGTCACGGCCAACTCCTTCTTCTTTCCTCGACCAATGCTGTACCATGGTCTCTTTGTCTGAGGACTCTGCACAGTTGGAGAATCGGAGGAGGTTGGTGTAGCTGCCGATCCTACTACAACGTTTGTTTCATCAAAGCTGACTCGATTTGCCTTCTTCCTAGGTACTGCCAACTCATCCGTCATGACCGAGGCATTCGACCCCTCACTTGGAATTTCACCTGAAGGAGATGGTCCTCTTGGCGAATTTGAATGCGAATGCTTCAAAGCAGACTTGCGAGGAGAGATAGATCTTGGAGGAGGTTGATGTTTGACCACCAAATTGTCGGAAGCTGTTGCAAAATGTGTGGTTCGAGCTGGACTGACAGATTGCACTCTGTTTGCTCGGATACTATCCTTACTCACGAGCCCAACCCCGGTGATTGCTGTAGGCAAATCTGCGAGAGTGGGTGCAGGTTGACTGGCAGATCTAGTATGTTGTCGACCTTCAGCAAACGCAGCTGAAGCGAGAGCTTGACCCCTGCCATGACCTCGTCCGGCTTGTGAGTGGGGCAATGGTGTAGGGGAAATTGCCCGTGCTATAGCAGGGTTCGTATCCAACCTTGGAAGAGTTTCCGAAGCTTTGGGCTTCGTGGGGGTATCATCCTCTTCTTCTTCTCGCTCCCTGTCTTCCCGGACAATAGACGGCTTCTTGGCTAGGCCAGTGCCGGCCCGAGTATTGAAGGTTGCTGGCCGGAAAGAAATGTCACTGTCATTGTCCGAAGAGTTGGGGATATAGGATGCTTGGTCGCTATCTGAATCGCTGGCCACCACAACTCTCCTCTTTTTCTTTTTCTTTGGGACACCAAGTGTGGGCTCGGGGACATCAGACTCGGGGGCAGTCGGAAGTTCATATACCGTTTCGGGTGCTGTGGCTGGGGCTGGAGTAGGTTCAGCTGGTATCTGCTGCTGACTTGCTGCAGCTTCCATGGCATCTATAGCTGTCCCTCTAGGTCTGCCACCGACAGTCCCATGAGCAAGATATGTCCCTTCTGTTGGCTTTGGAGCAACCCTCTTCTTTTTCTTGACAGGCTGGCTGGAGAGACTATCTATATGTCGCTCGATTTCACGAATCTTGGCCAGTGTAAGGAAAGTTCGGGTATTGGGGTCGTAGATCAGATCTTGACCTGGAGGCACGTCTGGCACCTGCATTCTTGGCCGAACCCTTTGTGGTGAGGGAGAAGTTAGCCGTCTCTGTCCGAATGGGGACATAGGAGACATGGGGGATGTCGCTCTTGGGTAAGAGAAATTAATAGAATTAACGGACCCTCTGCTTGCTGGTCGCTCTAAACCTGTTAGCTCTTGCACACTGGACAAGCTTGTCACCCTCTGGCCACCTCTCCTTGGGGGACTCGACACTCCAGGACCTAGACTAGATCCCCGTCCGGATGCCTGGTTTGGAGGAGGAGAAGCGACGCGCTTTTGTTCCACACTGGCAGCTCTTCGATGGGATTTGGAGGGTACGGGCGGCCGGCCTTGCTGGAGCACGTTATTAGGGATAGCAGGGACTGGAGGCGCATCAACAGCACTGGGGACATGTTGTGCTTGAGCAGGTGAAGAGGCCCGGAAAGTCCGCTCTGACATTGAGCCGGAGCTCAACCTGCGTTCCAGCTGGGATCCTGGTGGCCCTCTTGCTGATCCAGTAGAACTTCCCATGGACGAAGTCGAGCCAGTCCTCCGGAGTGTCCTCTTTGTCTGCACATCTGCCACGAAGGTTGGAGTTGTCGGCCGAGCCTTAAGAGCTGCAGCCGCAGCGGCCGAGGAAAGCGAAGCGTTCGAGGCCCGGTTCTTCAGGAAGGCTTGGGCAGCTGCGCTAGCTGCAGAAGGATCCATATTGGATGCATCGAGGGCCTGTCGATAGACTTGTTAGCAGGTGTTTCCTCTCTGATATTCAGTCACGGATGGTCGATCCAAGGGATTTCCCTCGCGCATTTGTCGTGAGTTGCGCAATGCGCAACGCGCGACGCAAAGAATCAGGACTCACGGGATTGCTTGCTGCCCTTTTTCTTCTATTCCCAAACATGTCGATTTGTAGGCTCACGGCCCTTCAACCTCACCTCTGCCGATCGGGGGCTGATCCGGATTATCGCATTGCAGAGAGAGAAGGTGAGGTTTCGATTCGAGGGTAGAGCTTCAGCAGATGATGACGATGGGCCGTCTATGGGGCGCAGGGCGTTGTCGGACTTTGACTGGTCACAGAGCCGAGAGGCAGGGAATAAATCCGCCGCGTGGAAGGTGGATATCGGGCTGCATCCGCGTCAGAATCTGATACAGACTCTCCACGATTTCATGAGGATAGGCACAGCAGTATAAGACAGAACGAATTGTGTTTATGAGGTCTTTGATGAGAGAGCAGTTTGCAGCAGGCCGGCCGATGTGGTGTTGATATCATTGCCTGGGACCTAGACGACAGGATTCTGTGCTTGAGCACTCCCTCCATCTAGTTGGGCCGCTAGAGATCGGCTAGCCAATACTGCCATGTTGTGTAGCTGGACCTTCCAACAAAAAACGCCCACATCATGACTCTCTTGCAGCAAGCAGACACCAGAGGGGCCCGAGTGTATGGCCTGGACAAACAACTTCCACGTCTCCGGCAATCCGGGGCCCCTCTCTCTCAAGACTGGCCAGCATGGTTTTAGACTTTTACAGCACAGCATCTCCGAAAGCAGTATGATCAATTTACATTTATTGGATACGGCCAGACAGAGAAGAGACAAACAGAATCACTTTAGCTACATGCTGGAACTAGTGCGGAGGTGTTTGTCAAGCACATATCCTCATTGCCACTAATGGCGGTGCAAACAGGGACCTCAGTCAAGCCACACTATGACGTAGCCGGCATTCGGCAAGGAAATAAGGAAAGACACTAATTCTCTCGAGAACGCTCGCCTCGTCTCAGAATTAAGATGTCCAGTAATCAGAAAAGCTTAAGAATTGGCACAAACTCTCCTTTAAGATTCTCTAACACTTTTTTCAATGGGTACGTTGCCCCTTTGACCTGCCAATGGTGAAGCTTGAGGTAATTGAACATCCCAGAAATGTACAATTTTTTTTGGCAATTTAGTGTCACATGTTTTTTTCTTTTGGGCGCTGCTCGCTTCGATTGCTGGGCTCTTTCTTACCGAATCCTCCGAGCCACCGAGCATACCGGTAAGCAGACACCAACCAACTTCCCCAGATCTGGTGGATGGACCGAGAACATTATTACCACCACAGTTACATAACCCTAAACGGGGTCCATTTGCTACTCGAGTACAATCCCTTGATTATTTTCTGCTGACTGTATGGAACTAATCTTCCAACATGGCGGATTCCAATCTACCTCTCCCTCTTCCACCAGGAGTCACAGAATCATATCTCCCCTCCCACGACCTCACGTACCATGTCCTCAGCGCTGGCCAGCGTGGCAACCCTCTCGTACTCTGCCTACATGGCTTCCCCGAGCTGGCTTTCTCGTGGCGAAAGATAATGCCAGCAATTGCAGCTGAAGGCTATCATGTCGTAGCATATGACCAGAGAGGATATGGGCGAACCACCGGTTGGGATACGCGCGAGTTTTCTTCTGTTGATTTAAATACTTTCACGTTTACACGCCTGGTACGAGATGCTGTTATACTTGTGAACGCATTGGGTTATAAAGAGGTAGCTTGTGTTATTGGCCATGACTTCGGAGCCGTTGGTGCGAGCATGTGTGCCTTGATGCGGCCAGATTTGTTCAAATCGTATGTTAGCTCTTTTTGATTACAATTGAGATATCTAACCCTGCGGACGCAGTGTTGTCATGATGTCCCACCCATTCAAAGGCTCTCCGTCTCTCCCCTTCGATATCGTGTCGAATCCGAAGCCCGCCCCAGAGAAGGAAGATGTCCACAAGGCATTGGCCGAGCTTCCAGAACCGCGGAAGCATTACAAATGGTATTATTCCACCAATCCTGCAGCCGCAGAGATGGACAAGCCGAGGGAAGATCTCCATGATTTCCTTCGAGGGTATTTTCATCTGAAAAGTGCTGATTGGAAAGGTAATGATCCGAAGCCCTTAAATGCATGGGAAGCCACCGAACTTGCAAAGCTACCATACTACTACGCTATGCCTCTTGAAGCTACTATGCGCCAAGCCGTGAAGATCTCCATGGACGGCGAGGATCCCACCACTGTCTCAAGATTAAGTGCGAGGTGGCTGACCGACGAAGACTTGGCCCTGTATGTGCAGGAGTTTGGACGGAATGGGTTCCAAGGAGGACTCAATTGGTACCGCGTGGCTACCGACCCAAACAATATGAAAGACGTCGAGTTATTCGCAGGGAAGAAGATCGAAGTTCCTGCTCTCTTCATCTCAGGCAAGAAGGACTGGGGCACTTACCAAGAGCCGGGTGTGGTGGAAAAGATGGGCGAAGTGTGCAGCCGCTTTAGAGGCACAGTTCTTGTGGATCACGCTGGACACTGGCTTCAGCAAGAGCAGCCAGAGAAGGTCATCGAATTGGTCTCGAAATTCCTGCACGATACCACGGTCGACTGGATATCTCATTGACGGTGACACAGTGACGTATGCAATCAATCCGAGCAGTTGTCTTTATGCACCAACCAAAAGTGTCCCACCGATGGGCGATTTCACTGGGCATCGGGGTTCTTTTGGACGATCTAGTGGTTCGATGTCTGCGTGCGAAGGTGTGGAGGTGTCAGGTTCGTCGGAGACAATCAGGTTATCTGCTTCAGACTTGGCGATCCCCGCAATTCGAGGGGATTCGAAGCCGTGCGCCACCGTTTGTGCAGGGGCTTTGAACATCCTGCCCTGCCAATCGTCCCGCATAATTAGATGTCAACCCCGGAAAATGCGGTAACTTGGAGTCGAACCCTCACTCTAGTGTCAGATGGCATTTCTCTGCATCAGATAAGTGACGAGTCCAATCATCAAGCCGTATCAAAACGTTGATCCGTTTGGGGAAGTCATGCTGTTTTCCTCCTCATGCATTTTCATCACGTGTATGCCATTTACTTATGCCTCCTACTGTCTTCCTTCCTTCCCCCTTCTTCCCCTTGCCAAGCAAGCGTTTGCACTCATCCAATCTACTTTTTTTTTAATATCCTCTGCTTCTGGAAAGCCGACTTTCCATTCTTTAAAAGGCTTCTCTTACAATTCACTCAACCACACAACCTCTGGTTCAGGTCTCATCAACACTAGATATGTCTTCCGCCGAGCTCATCGCGGAGATCCTGACCCTCTCCAGCGGTCTAGAGTCCTTCAACTAATTCCAAATCCTCTCCCTCTCCCAATCCAACAACCTCTTCACCTTCGCGCCCGAACTCATCTCCTTCTCGCAATCCTGCGGCAACGAACTCCAACAACTGCTATCGCTCTCGCAAAGCTCCATCTTCAACAACATGATTGAAACCAACCTCAACCTCGCCGGTTCCCTAAGCCCTTGTCTTGAGCAGGTTTTAGGCCTCGAGCAACTTTTTGCGAGCGGACAGGATAACCTGAACCTTTCAAATAATGGCAATAATAATGTCAACAGCTTGAATGGAACGGTTGTCTCGAATTCAACAGCTAGTGTTAGTGCGAGTAACTCTACCGCTGTCGCGAACTCAACAGCGGACGCCAGTAGCCAACAACAAAACGGCAAGGAACAGAGCGCTAAAGGCAAAGGCAAGAAGAACGGCAAGCGAGTCGAGGTCATGCAGCGATCTGGTACGATTAAGAAGCAAGTTCTGAGCGGTGTTGGTCTGGGGTTGATGGTGATGGTTGGGGCTTTTGCTTTGTAAGCTGGATCTTGGGATGGAGTTAAGGGATGGTTGCGGGTTGAGTGGGGTGTAAGTTAACTGGATTTGGGTTTCTTTGGTTCTTGGGAACAGAAAACGGAAACGGAACAAAATTGGGCTTGGGGGGAAGCTTGAGACACTGAATCGGACTTGCTTTCTTCTCATCTATCTGACACTTCTGAAAGTTAGAAAATCAATTTTCAAAAATTGAAATAGTCTGCTCCTACTCGGGTGAAAATACCCAGACGTATAATTCTGCCATTCAGCAGAAAGAGGTGAAACATGGAGCAACTCATAGTTTGTAAATCAGTGGGGTTGATCTGCCTTCTCAACCGTATGACTGCCGATGCCTCACGGCACTGTTCAGCCTATCTCAAAAGGGAAGGCAAGCCAAAATTTATGCCACCAAGCTTATATTGGCTCCTTCTTCTTCTTCTTTTTTTTTTTTGGAATACTCAATTTCGGAGAAATAGGTTAGGTTGCGTTGGATATTGGATGCTGCTTCTCATCCGAGGAGGTCCCTCGATTGGCTTGAATAAACAAGTATGTCGTGCTTTAAAGATATAAGACAAAGTAAGCATGAAAATCCAAGGCTTAGAAGGCATTTGGAAATTGAGACGGGATCTGATAATAAATCATGCATAGAGGGAAAGGGAGGCAGAGGCGATGCTTAGGTTGCCTTGGTTTTGTGACACTCCTCTTTGCATGACAATTCCTTCAATAACGCAGCTTCCTACCTGTTGCTAGAGGGGATGTGAGAGGCAGGAGCTGATGTTTCCCACAAGTTTTCATTTTCATACAGCCAAAAACGCCAATGAGGGTATCGTCGTTCCACCTAAACACCCGAATTGAAAGCCCGAAACTTACACTTTACAGCGTAGAAAAGCCTATACTTACAGAGCTTCATCCACTATAAATTAACGCGCCATAGAAATTGCGGTGTGCAACCAATTTGGGCTGGTTCTTATTGGTCGGTAGGGGCAGCACGAACTTGCAGTGGATTCGGAGGAGTAAGAATTAGGAGGAAGGAGATCAAGGTGAATAGAGCGAAGCTGTGAAGTGAAGCTAGAAAGGGGGAAGATTCGGCTCGCTTAGCAAGATAAGTTGAGTGAGGTAGCATAGCTGTGATGTAAAATGCGCACCATCTGACAAGCCTGCGAATTTACCAGAACAGGATTTTAAGAAATCACTGTTCGCGCCTTACCGCTCCCAACCATCCTCACGGATGAGATTAGGCACAAATCTGTCTTTACTCACCCGGTTCAGCCATCGAGCATAGTGCTTCTTTCTTCCATTCGAAACAGGAAGGGTACGCATGAACGTGGCGGCGTCGTGCGATGAAGGCTGCAGCATTGGAGTTGAGAACAGGTCTTGCTAGCTCTGAGGAACTCGAACAGGATGCCACATCAAAGCTTGAAGTCACTTCGGTCCCTGGTCGATTTCTCTCTTCGTCCCTGTCAAGCATTGCCAAGCAGTGATCGACCATTTCATCAGTTAGGCGTGCCGCAATTGTGAAGCTTGAGATTTCCTACTGTTGTTCTTTCAGGTTTCAACTTTCAAGGACTCGCGCCGGCGCATAACCGAGCGCGTTCGAACCCTTTCCAGGAATTTCGTTTGATGTTACAGATACCGCTATATGCTTGTGGATTTTACCCCCATGTAGCTGATCGATGGGCGAGTTCTAATCATCATCGGCAAACCTGCAGACGTTGGGGAGAGTGGAAGCAAACAACATTCTCGCTCTACTCTCCGGGGCTGCCCTGAACACCATTGTATAACGATGCCTGGTTTGGTTTTTGAAGGGATTTGAAGGGAGGTGTTATGCTCTCTCATGTCCTCTCAAGGACCTCATCAGTCGACCATCGCCCAACTTTCTGTTTTTATTTGAATTCTTTTTTTAACTTTCTCGATTCCTGACTTGATGTTTGTACTGATCGGCGACAGCTGTCATCGTGGAGGACTTTGCGAATCGAAGCGCAAGGAATGTCGGACGAAGTCTGCCAAATGAAGCGAGCATGAACGTTGATACATCGAGAGGGGCTGTTAAATCACAAGTCAATTCCTCGGGTACACGCTATCAAACTCGATGAAGGAGTGGCTGTACCCAATACTCAATTGAGCAGCTGTGTACTCCACGTCATGCGAGACTTCCTCCGAGGAGCTGCATGCCCTCGATATCTGCGGCAGACGGCGAGAAGCGCACTTTATGTGCCTATTTCCAGCCCATCGCAAAGTAAGGGGGAGCGATATCGGTAGATAATTCTCCATCGAAGTCGATGTCCATGCTTTTGCATTCCTAGCTGAGCCTCCTGTTGACTTCGCAAAGTGGTCACTTGACCGAGGATTCGGTGCTACAAAATTCCCCAGTCTGCCTTGTGAAGTCGCGAGACAACGGTTGCAGCACTCAGCCGCACAGCATTTTGGACGCCACCAGATTTTTCAGACCTCTTGATTCGCAGCGCAGCCCAAAATCGATAGTCGGTTTGTCTCACACAGCCCTTTTGGGTTTATCACAGCCCCGCGTCTCAAGTCTCCCCATCTTGCTCATTAGAGGTGGTGCGAGTGCATCGTGAATCTTTATAAGGGTTAGAGAACAGAAACTATTTCCGACCATTTTCAGATCATTACACGATCAACGCTTAGCATGATTTCACTACCATTATTAACAGTTTCCTGCATTTCATTCGCATCTATCGCAACCGCTCGTACCCTCGCTCAACCAGTTATCCAGCGCTTGGCAGAGAGGTCTCAATACAATGGCGGGTGGCCCCTCGCGTTATCCATCACTCCAGGTGTTAGTTGTCCAGCCAGCGATCCGGTAGCATGCCCAACAGACTTAATCAACCCAACATGTTGTCCATCAGGCAATACTTGTTTCTGGGCAGGTGGGCAATTCGATACCTATTGCTGTCCAACAGGTCAGCCCCCTTCCAACCAGCCAAACTACAACCACTAAATTAAAGCAGCCGACGATTGCCATGAAGCAGTCTTGAACTTCCCTCAATGTGCTTCCAACAACCAAACAATGTTCAAGAATGGCAGTGGTGGTTTCTTCTGCTGTGAACCTGGAGAGCTTGGAATGAACCCTTCTTCAGGGAAGGAGGGCGGACTTTGCGAGCCCGCCGATCAACCTGTCCCTAAATCCCAACTTGCAACCATCGCGTCTCAAATCGGTATTGCGGTAGCGACGCCAGCTCCCATGGCCACAGCAAGTGGCTCAAACAACGCAACGGCCACAGGGGCCAGCAATCCAACAGAAACTAACCCCTCCTCAGCCTCTCCCACCACAGGCAACACGACCGCTACAACGAACATCAGCAAATGGCCTACTGCGACTAAGATCGGGGCTGGAGTCGGCGTTCTCGCCCTCTTCGTGCTATTATGTGTCGTGCTCTCTATCTGCAAGAGCAGGAGGCGGAGGACCAGGAATGTTATTCCCGGGGCGTATGGTTACGATACGGCGATCCCACAGTATGATGAGTTTGGGAATCGAGTTGACGGCTACGGGCCTCCACCAGGTTATGTGCAACGGCCTGGTTATGAACCATACAGACCTGTGCATTCTCCTTCGCCAGCGCCGCCGAATCACGTAACAGTCAATGTTGTCCAAGGCGATTTGAATCAATAGTTGGGAGACAGGCCTGCTGTTTGAGCATTTTGATTTGAGCGGTTGTTTTATGAGACTGTGGTGAGGAGTTTGGAGTTCTAGGATATTGTATCATGAGCGACGAAGAGCATCATAGACTTTGTATAAAGTGAATTCAGACATATATTTTACATCAAGCCTCCATCCTATACAAACAACACATGTCCAACAGGACCAAAAGAGTGTCAAGAACAACAACGGGGTATCGTTTTCGCTTCCTTTCCCATTACATCCCCAATTCGCCGGCAACCCGACCGAATCCTCCCAATCCGAAATGAAAGGTAGGTAAACAACCAACATCGCGTTCAGGAGTTCAGTTCTTCCACTCCACATGTTGCTTCTTCGGCACCTCCGGCGCCAACGGAAGCTCATCCTCACTCCCCATCTTACTCGTCTGCTTTCGCCCAAACCCATCTTCAACCCCACTATCACTCTCACTCTTCCTCCACACGGTCTGCGGGACTTGAACGCTCTCAACCGTAACATCGACTTCCTTCAAGGTCCTGATCCCCTCAAAGCTCTGTCTCTCCTCTGCCGCACCTCTCATCTTACTCACAGCGCTCGCATTCACGCCCGGCTGCAGACCAATTGCGGCCTTGGATTGGATATGAGAGGTGTGGAAATGAGAGTGGTTGTGCGAGGAGGAGTTTTGGACCACGAACTCGTTGTTGCGAGCTTCGACGGAGTTGCGCGCTATTTTTGTAATGAGGGAGGCCATGGACATTTCGATGTTGAGTTTTACCATGTAGGCGACAGGGTGGAATTGGATATATACGACTTGGTTTTTGAGGGACATGAGGCAGATGAGCATGAGCTGTGTGGGCGTTAGTCAGTTCGTATGATGAGGTGAGGGGACAAGGAGGAATACTGACATCCATTCCTATTGACAGCACCATCAACTTGGCGTTGAAGCCTACGAGTGGTGCGTATTTAGTCAGGCCGTGGCAGTTGACAAGTCGTTTCTTGACAGTGTGAAGGAAGAAGTAATTGAGTCCTGCGTCGACGATGAGGATGATTACTTTCGAGGTTCTGTCCCAGTACTTGTTGATTTCCACGAAGCTGTTCTGTTAGCCAAAACGTGAAGCTGGGGAAAGTGCCACTTACAGAGGAATGGGAGGAGGGACAAGATGAGCTGGGATCCAGATGACGAACACGGCAATGTTGATCATCGTGCTAGAAGTCAAGTTAGCAGTGTTACGACGCAATACTGTTGAGATACTCACATCACGAACGCAGTTCCCCACTGCTCCAGTCAACATTTGAGTCTCAATCGGAACTTGGGACTTACTTTGAGCCTTGAGATTAGTTGATGATCATCCACAACGACAGTGATTCTATTAATGATGATCTGCATGAGCAGTTGGACCTCGAACACCCAAAGGAAGAGAATGCTGAAGAAAAGGGGAACACTGTCGCTTAATGAGCTCTGGCTGCAGGGTATTGTGGGCTTGAGGGGAACTTGCCTCGGACTGAGGACTCCATCTAGGAAAAGCCATCCAATAATGCCAATGGCGAGGTTGGCAACGATCTCTCCCCAAACCATGAAGATGTAGACACTGCGAAGTGGCGATCGAATTGCTCTGGTTTGCTGGATGGCGTTCCAGACGCAGAGCACGCCAAACCCAAGTGTGAAGCCAGCAACGGTGGAGGCCAACTTAAAGTCACTGATGTTGCTGGCCATGATTTGGAACTGCGAGAGGTATTGGGCGATCTGCTAGCCGAGATTCTGGACTGGTATGGATTCTTATGGTTGGGAACCAAGAGTTGCACAATGTGGGTGTTTTCTTTGGAAGCTACCTGAGCTGGTCCAATTTCTCGACTGCGTGGAGACCGCATCACTAGATGGAAGCTTCAGAGCCATATAAGAGTCACCGTGAGATGAGAACCTGATCGCCACCACGAAGCCACAAACAAGAACATTGAATGTCAATCCCGCAAACATGAAGCCCCTTTCATATTCATGTTTCACCCCGAAGTATTTCATACTACGATCAATACCTTCTAATACTTCCTTCTTTTGCGGGGTTGCGTCGAGGACAAATACATATGAACTCTAGATGCCAATGGACCACACCATCACGGAGACTAACATCGATTGAGACGTTTTCAAAACAACCGACCTAGCACTACTGAGGGGACCCCGTCCTTGACCAGGAGTTGACCTCGTGGAGGCTGGGATCATTGCCTATGAAGGGTTTAGGAGGACGAGCCCCTTGCAGATAGACTGGAGCTATGCATGCAGAACGTGCAGAGGTGTCTGGGAGAGTATCTTGATATCGAAACAGGCCCGTTGTCAGGACCGGGCGGCAAGACATGCATCGTAAATACGGACTCCACTTTGGGAAGTTCGGAGATAGCTCTATTAACGACTAGATGGCAAGTGCCACAAAAAAGGGGCCAGTCCATCGTCGATCCCAAGGCACTGGCGTCTTTGAATGATTCGACATTTTCGGAAGATGCTAACCAAGTTGGAGACACGGCAGTGTTCTGGAGGATCCGTGCCGTGCCGTGTTTGAGACAACGTCAATGCAGGATGCAGATGTCTTGGATTATTCGAGGTTGGCTTGATGCGGGGAAGAGATCTGGGAATTGTTTCAAAAGTTGGGTTTGCCGGTTCCTAATAAATAGATCCCGAGGCAGGCGTCTTTGGAGGAGCTGACATCAACCGGCCACCTCGCTAAAAGAGGGGCACCAAATACCAATGCTTCAAGTCAAAGTTTGACACTTATCTCAACTCGGATGGGGAAGGACTTCATTTTATACAATGCAAGATGTTTAACAGGGGTGGCAGCGTGTGAATATACAATATTTCGATATAAAAGTTGGAGGGGAAACGATCGTCCAACTTTGACATGGAACATTGAAAAATGGTGTCACGTTTTGCGAGTTCCCCTATTTTTAGAACAGAAATACCAAACGTCTAGACCGTAGTTTTGGGATGAATATGATGCCGTGTTTGCTATTATTGGATTTCGTCTTGAAAAGTTAAACATGTGATTCTTCCTTCAATGTTCTGCTGCGTCATTGTTGTCGACTTCACGCTCTCTGGCCTGTTCCTGATCCTTGTCTTTCAAAATTCGACTTTGTCACCTTTTTCAGCTCTTTGATAAAGTCCACCAATTCTTTACGCCTCCCCTTTATTTCTAAGTCAGCTGCCTTTCTACCGTCAGCCACCTGAGACTCCATTGCATTTAGTGGCTCCTTATTCTCGATGACGCCTCCGGGATCTTCCTCATCATTCGTCTCATATTTCAGTTGGGAGAGGAAGTCCTGCCAGTCCTTCGGTATACCATCGATCTGCTCGACCTCGGCGATGGACGCAAGTACTTCACCGAGTAGGCGTGGCGTTCGGGTTTTCGTTGAGTAGCTTGGTCTCTCAGGTTCTGGGCAACATGAACACTCAGTGTCTCCATCCTGTGTGTGTTTAAAGTGACCCGTAAATCGAAATAGCGTGAGTGTTTCCCAGTTCTTGTGTGCTTCCTTGTGATCTTTATATTCACCAAGGTCGAATGAAGAGCCAGCGTTCTCCAACCAGTCGTCAATTGCAATATGGATGGGATAACAGCAAGTGCTGACTCCGAATAAACTACCTTGGAGTGCCAACCCCCAATCGTGCAGGAGCTGCTTTGATTCTAGAAGGGTGCTGAGATCCAGGATCTGTTCAACACAAGAGACGTGGTAGAAGCGATCAGGCTCTGCGATGTGTTTAGTCTGTATTCACGTATTCAAAGACAACTGTTCCAACTTACGTCTGTAGTATGATATTGGACTGCTTCTTTCACCGATGAGGTCCTTGAGATTAAGTCGGTACTCTGACTCGATGTTTGGCTTCTCCCACCGCTCTCGAGGGATACAAAACCGAGCTCGGCAGTGACTCTTCCAGGATTTTGTGAACTCTAGCACCAAAATGGAAGCACCAGATTGTAGCTATCTCTCGATATCTCTGCGGTCCAAGGCCACCAGATCGGGCTCGTCGTCACCGTCTTTGCTATTGTTCAACAGCTCGTGGTTTGCCACAAGTTCTTCCCTTGCAAGAGGCTCTCGCTCGTCTCTTTTGTGGCTCTGACAGACGGCTGTCTGAGCTTTCTAGGAGTCCATCATCGTGCTTTCGTTACTGTTCTCGGCTCTGGGGGCAAGGAGAGCCTCCAGCGAGCAAATATATCTTGCCTGTGCAGCGTCACCCGCGAACCCCCTCATTCTTGCTAGCGCAGCGAGCATCTCCCTCCTCTCCTTCATGGGGCAAGCCCGCAAAGTCCCATCTCGCTACGCTTGAAGAGAGGCAATCAGGAACCGCTTCCATGGAGACGTGTAATTCAAATCGACTTCACATGCGATTTCCTATCTGATTGACGCACTTAAAGTCACTCCTAGAGGCTACTGCACTATGAGATTTCCTTTTTAACGGTCGGAGTCAACGTCCCTCCCTACGCCTGACACAAGCTCACATCTCTACCATGGCTCTGATGGCAAAATAAGCTCCCACAACCCCAACCAAAACAGCCGCAGCCACAGTACCTCCCTCCTTGGTCGTCGTAAAGTACAATGCAAACCCAACCACCAATTCTAGCTGTCTCGCTCTCTCTCTCCTCCGCTTCCAATCAACATTAATCTCAAACGGCGGCTTAATCCTAGGATCATCTCCTTCCTCATCCTTAGGAGGTGGGATAGGCACTATCGGAACAGAGATCTCAAGCGTCACAGCCCTGTGATCTGACGTGGGGAATAGTGGGAGCGCAGTGTATTTGTGTGTAGTAATGGATAGCGAAGGCTGGGAGCGTGTAACCCATGTCGGAAGAGGCAGGTAAAGGATTCGATCGCACCAGCTTGGCCAGCGATGTCTAGCCCATGGCCATTTCTTCAACTTGTCATCGGGTGTCAGGAATGGCTCTTCGGAATTGTACTTGTAGGTTGGTGGAAACGCTATTTCGGCTTCGGTGAGACCGTGGAGGGTTCGTCCTGCAAATCGTTCTTGATTTAGTTGGTCGGATTCGAAGAGCGAGGAGAAGTGCAGTGAGGAGTCGGGCGGGTGATGTGGTTGCGGGAAGATGTCGATGTGGTCGGTTGGAGAAGGAGAGAGGACCGAGGTGCGATAGTTGAGATCTCCCGCCACGAAGAGGTGGGACGTGGGCTTGTAGATCGAGGCGTCGTGTGGAGAGATGGAGAGGAGGGGGCGTTCTTCTCCAGACAGAGATGCAGACCCTGTCTTGCGCTTGAATGTGGTGGAGGAGAAGACAAGGCCTCGAACTATGTTCTTCCAGTCTTCGTTTCTTCGTTGTAGCTCCCACTCCATCGCTGCGAGGTGTGCGGCGACGAAGGTCAACTCTGTTGAGGCTGACCCTTGGTGATATGTGAACCGTATAGCCACAGCGCCTTTGTTTCCCATCTCCCAAAGCCCTACTCCTACTCCCCCAGTCTCTATATCTTGTATGCGGGAGGGATCTTTGGCGAACACCATAATACCTGTCATGCCCAGATTCCGAGCTGCTATCGGAGCGTATGTTGGCCCATTGTCCGCCGCATTGGCGTACGTTCGGGAACCCTTTTGTACCGCATGATAAAATTTCTCGAAAAAGGGGACAAGGAATGATCCACCAATTAATGCTAGTGGTAGAGGAGCGATTTCTTGGAGGGAGAGGACGAGGAGGTCGGGCAGGTTGGTGGAGTGGAGGCCGGTGAAGAGCTGAGATGCGAAGGTTTCGGTGTCGATTGGCCGGAGACCGCAGTTGAAGGTTACGACATAAAGAGTTAGAGCAGCCATTTTTGGTCTGCCTGCCATTGTATCTCAAAGCATTGTTTGAAGAGCTGTGACACTTTGAGGTGTTGAAGATGCACGCGACGAGGCCCTGGGCTTGGCGACGTCAGAGCTGGGGAGGATTGGCGCAAACACGGGAAAATGTAAATGACCCACCTCCCCCGGGTGTCGATTGGGGGCTAGGGTGTTAACGACTTGTAATTGGCCACTTCAGGTCCTTAAAGACCTTGAATTAGATTTTTAATATAAGTATGGGCTAGTATATTATAAGGCTTATAATGTAATTACTAGTTTCTTAACTTATAATAAAAAGATTTCTTAAAATAGAGTTTTAATTAAAGAAATTTATACTAATTAATTACGTTCTAGTTTCTAAGCCCTATAAAGCCCTATAAATTAGGGGCTTACAAGGCTCTCATATCTAGTTTCAGGGACTTGTTTGTTAAATTTCTAGGCTTTCTTAAGCTTACTATTAGAAATATATTAACTTTTTAATTTCTTTAATTTGAAAAACTATTACTAATTTATATTTCACTAAAAAAAATTATATGTAAGTAGCCCTTGATTAGTGCTATAATGAAATAATGAAAGCAATAAATTCTATTAATCTCTCGTGAAGTAAATTAAATTTAAAGAGAGAGCTAGGTTTTCGGCATTCTTGGCCGATCACCTCTACTTTGACTTTGGGTTAGTGGCTAGTCTGCCCCCCAATCGGCACCCGGGGGGGTTCGTTTTACATTTTCCGGCGAATACGAGTACTACGGAGTACGAGTAAGCGAGAGTGCTTAGGGGTAGCATGGCAGACATTCCAGTTCCAGTTCATATACGCAGTGATTTCTTGTCCTAGAAGTTTGAGAACGTTGCGTGTCAAAAAATCAACGTTTTCAAAGACGATTTCCCTTTCTCTGCAAGCTGCCCGATCTCCTGTTCCGTGGAATTCGTCCTCATGAGGCTCCAAATTGAACACAGAGACAAGACTTACGCCTTAGTTTAGCTCTCAAATTGCAATTGGCAACGGACCTCAATTCCTCGAGCGCCCTACTAGAGATGCCCTTGTACGGTCCTAGAGAGATACATAAAAGAAAGTTGACAAGGAGTTGAGCCTGGATTTGGCGTATCAAGATGCATAATCCTAATTAGGATAGCTCCTGGAGCTGGCTGGATAGGGGTTTATTTGAGCATTTCTAATATTATATCTATAGAATAAAAGCTTGCTTACCCTTGTGAGAAGGAGTAATTAATCTATCTTAACTAGCTATATCTTTCTTTCATTGAAAGAATTAAAACGCATGTTGGCTGCTGATCGATCAGCCCACAAAAGTTTATAGGGTGTCCGACTCTCCACCTTCGGAATCTCTTCCGAAAATCGGCACCTTTGTTCCCATCGCGGGTCCTTGAATAAATATAGCTCCAATCCTTCTGTGAGTCTTTACTCTTTAACTTACATTTGGACGAGATTATACGAGATTCTACATATCAATCCGAAGATAACTGTCACTCGTTAGCAGACTTGCCTGTCACCTTATCGAAAAGATCAAAGTTGGTTTTGACCCAATAAATCCAGGTGTCTGTACTCGTTTCATCTCATTGCGCAGAGATGACAGACCAGAAAGTCAAAGTTGGAGCGATGCATGCAGCGCCAATTTACATGAAGAAGATAGAGACATTACAAAAGGTTGTTTCCTTGATCGAAGAGGCAGGCAAACAGAATGTGGAGCTGTTAGTTTTCCCTGAAGTTTTCGTCCCAGGATTTCCCGTGGGTACATTGCTTCCCTCATGAGACTCTCCTGACTCCTTGCCAGTACTTCCTCAACTCATACGCGCCACCAGCACAGGTATCAGCAATCATAGAGTATGGACGGCAATCGGTAGTGGTCAGTGCCTCGGGAGGAGATCTCGCGGGAGTGAGAGAGGTTTGCAAAGCAGCAAAAGTGGGAATAGTGCTTGGGGTCTCCCAGAGAGTCAAAGGAGGCCATCAGCTCTTTAACTCATTGGTATTCATAGACTCGGCTGGAACCTTATTGGGCACCCATAGAAAGCTGCAACCAACTTATGCCGAACGCTACATATGGTCTCAAGGCTCGGGGCACACGTTACGGACTTATGGATTCGACCGTAGTGAGAGCGAGGGCTTCACCGTGGGAGGCTTGTGCTGTTGGGAGAACACGATGAATCTGGCCCGCCAGTCGCTCATTGAATCCGGGCACCAAATCCTCGCAGCAGCATGGCCAGCACTGTCCACAACTGAAGGCTTCGAGGCCGTCGCAGACATCCAGATCGAAGCGCTAGCCAAGAACCACGCACTAACAGCTCAAGTCTTTGTCATCTGCGCATCCAACTACGTAGATGAGGCGTGTTTGGAATGGCTGGATAAGAACATAGGGCCGCAAACACATCTCGAGGTTGGAGGAGGCTGGTCAGCTATAGTGCATCCGTTTTGCAAGTTGATCGCGGGGCCTGTGAGGGGGAAGGAAGGGGGCGATCAAATCGTCACTTCGGAGGTGAATTTGAACGATTTGGATTTGGTCAAGGTTTATATTGATGCAAATGGACATTTTAAGAGACCTGAAATCTTGAAGATGCAGAAAGATTCGAAGCCGTTGTGGGAGGATGATGAGATTGCAGCTACTCCGGCTTTAAAGTAGGTCAACCTGTTACGTTCAACATTGTGAGGCATGCAGTTATGCAGAGATGGACGGAACTATTACTCGCTCGGCCGGCTCACTGCACTTCTCGCTTAGACAACTGGTTAAGTGGATTGCGTATGCTTTTGAGTTAGCTGAAGTTCTCAAGTCTAACTCTCAAATTGCAATTGGTAATTAAAATTCCATTTACCTCGGAGAATTTGATGATTCTCAAGGTCAGCATTTGGATTTTTTGAAGCGCTCTAGCCCAATGATAGAAACAAGCCAGATAATTCTAACGCTTCCATGGTCTATCGAGAAACTGAAATCATGTTTCATAAACTTAATTCTTCGCCAAAAGGAAAACCGCATTCCTGAATAAAGCTGCCACGGAAATTCTTTCAAATTGCAAGCCGTAACGTGTGACCATGTGGGCTACTATCTTCCTCCCTTGCGCACCGCGGTGGATGAAATACGGTCGTCATTTCATCTCATCAAACAGATTCGATGAACACGCAAGTCTGTCAGAAGTAAAGGGGTGAACACATCGGATTGAACTCTTGTAAGACGATCATATGTCACCTACCATTTCCTAGGAGACAGCGGGTTACTAAGGAAACTTCTAGGACTCCAATTGGCTATAATTAAAGAAGATAAAGCTAATTATACATTTGCTAGGTAACTGAGGCTTAGATAAATAAAAGAATTCTAGAAAAAAACAGAAAAACTATAACTATTAATACTTGCTTTATTTTTAGAAGAGAAAAAATATATTTAATTAAGTTATTTCTTAAAATAATAGTTTTAATTAATTTAGAAAAAAACCCAAATAAAAAGTATCTATTAATAATTCCTTAATTTATTAAAGTTTATTTATATTAATAAGTTAGTAATATTAATTATTATAAATAATGCAATTTATTATAATAATATATTTTAACCAATTTATTAAGACTTATTTAAATACCAGTTTCTATTATAATAAGTATTATAAAAGCCTTTTAATATAATAATATTGGAGTTGTTATTATATTAGAAGTATTATTCTTAAGAAGAGAAATATAATAAAATGAGTATAACGAAAAACGCTAACAAGAATCGACTTCTAATAAAGACCAACAAGTTTGGGGCTGTCGTATTTAGTATCATACTCAGACATGTTCCGAGAGTGCCCAAAAAGATGTGTTGGCGTTGTCCGAGCCAGCCGGCTATCCAGATGAATAGTGCCTCAGACATTTGACTAACCTGGATAAATTAACTCACGTCTGACTTTACCACTAAAGTTAGTTGTCGGTACTCGCAGCGAAAATGGCGAAATCAATGGCTGTGCTTCCGTTTCCCATAACCGGAAGTCCGTTAAACTGGGTGTCGTTTGAAAGTGCATTGACGACCCCGAGAAATAAACCAGCTTATTGGTTGCGGTGCCTTGGTAGACCCTAAACATATCCCAGGGACGGTGGTCCATACTCACTCCACCAGTATCGAGAGTACACTATCGTGACAGGAGATCATATGACATGGCCGTGCCCAGAATAGTAAGAGATTCGCTACTTGACCTGGGCACCTTTGCTCTGGAGTGTGTTCCTACTGGGGCGGGGACCAACTGGCGGGTACTGGGAAAACCTGTGCCCAACGAAAAACACGGATCCGTGTTCCTCCGTTTCGAACGGTTTGTCAAAGTACAACTCCTTCACGCCTGCAGCATCGCAAGCACAGTAGCCGAAGATGGATCTGAATATTCCAGAAGTCATGAATACATGCATTGCCAACTTGCGGACCCCTGTCAGCTGAACCTATGAAAGCAAGTCTTGTTATCTGACATAAAGCCCACGAAGCTTTGTCCGTTTCAATTTGGGCAGCGTCTCTATTGAAGCTACACGCTGCAACAGCCTTTCAAAATGCGGGTCGATTTCTCATTTTCTCCCATCAGGCCCTTACTGCGGCGATAATGACGTACTTCGAGGTCCTCTACTTGTCTGCCGAGCTGTAAAAGCTTTGCAGGCCAATAAAATCACTATCTTCTGCCACGTCTGCCTCATGTCGTCAATGTCTCTTTCCCCCTCGAATAAATCGAGGTTACTACCTCAGCCATGTCATAGGATCATTCTGCGTCTAAATGTATCCTATCCGAGAGGCTGACTGACAGTGACTTCGAAGATGCAAAAGAAGTGGCAAGTCCTTTGTGTGAGAACCCCATGTTACCAAGTTCATCACAAGCCAGGCTACAGCGTGCTGCAGTCAACAGTTGTTGAATATGTTGAACTTCTCGATCGGCAGACTGCTTGCAGCCAACGAGCATAACATTATATGAAATGTGGCAGTTGCAGACTGCCGGATAAAACTCCAGCCGTCACTAGCAAGACAGGAAAGCCTCTGCTCTGCATATTCACGCTCTGTCACCGGATCGAACGGCACCGCAAGCCACAGGACATTCACCTGCCGCAGGATCACTGTGGGCAACTTCGACTCCGTTCGACCGATCCCAATCAATTCATGACACGGAGTGAAGGATAATGCACACATGCCTGATGCGCCAAGTTAACACTCGGTCATGAGCGCGGGATCAGCAAAGCGGATAGCATCCGTGAGAAACGAGGAGGCACCCCTTGAGCAGCGCGTTCTGCATGCAGACTGCCATGTCTAAATCGAGGCTGTCAAATGAATCGACGGCGCCCCGCGGGACACTGCAAAGAGTGGACGGATGGCTTGGCTTGCCCGGCCTACCTGGAGCAAACAAAAACCAATACGACCAATTCATGGGGTACAGCCGATCCATGTGATGCCGTGAGACAGAGGGGAGGCATTCATGATCGTGCTATGCCAGCTCCACGCAGGCGCAGGCAGCCAGTTCTACGGCCGAGACTTCGCAACCGCCAAGGAACGCGTGTTCCACCTCGTCCCTGCTCCCGCTCCCCTACGGGCTCCAAAGCAGGGCTTATCGACGAGTAAAACAAAAGACAGACCGCTGCGAGATAATTAGCAGCGTACGACGAGGGATTGCCTAAACTACCTGCAAGGGTAAAAGCTAGGGAGAAGAATCGGGCAATCGAAGAATCCAGGGATCGGAAGTTGGGAGTTAAGATCCGAGAATCAAGAACCGAGAGTATCTGTAGTAAAAGAGAAGAGAGAACTGTGGAAGTTAGAAAGACACTCGGTTTTTATACTGGGACAACGGGCATGCAATGCTCCAATTACGCTAGCTACCAACTATCAATTGGCTCAAATAACCGAAGTCCTTACCAAAAGCACGACCCCACCAAAAGCACGTGAATTGACGAGATTTCCCGAAACTTCCAAAAATTAGTATTTAATAATTATCTAATAGATTATAATAAAACTGAAGCAATACGTAGTATTAATTGAGGACTCGATATTATTTCAATTAAAAAAGCTATTTAAAGTATTATGGTAAACTAATTATCTGTATGGCTATTTTCCTTGCTCCTACTACCATTAGTACTATCCCCTGATCTGGCAGAACTACATTAGATTATACGGGTAGTTCCACTGGTGCCTTTACCTTAGGGAGCACCTTTGTCCGATTTAATACTCTCGGAGCAGCCTTTTTTGCCTTCGGAATAGTATAATTTGGCTGCTTCTTTAGTATCTTTTTGGCCACCGTAGCTCGCTCCTTCTCCCCTTCCCCTCTTGCGGCCTTAGCCCCCCCTATAGCTTTCTTCTTCGCTTTCCTCTCTTTTTCTAGTTTATTTTTGAGGGCATTTGCGGCTCTCTTGATTTTTCTTTCCAATTTCGCCTCCTCCTTAGCTACTTTTAGTACTTTCTTTTATTCCTAATATTCCCTAGCCTTAATTACCTATATAGGAGAGTAGTAATTAATAATACCCTTATTTGGCTAGCTATAAAGATTCAAATAAACTCCTTATTAATCCTTCTTCTTCTAAAGGTTAATAGCCTTAAATAAGCCTCGGTTTTGGTATTATAGGCAAGCTATTTATATAGAGAGATATAAGGTAGTAATAAAGAGTTTCTTAACTTTATCTTTAGTTAGTTCTTTATTATATATAAGCTAAAATTAATAAATTACTTTTAAAGTCTTAAGTATATATAATTCCTGAGCCTTTTTATAAGGTATTTATTAGTAGGCAATAAGATAATAGAATGAATTAGTATATTATAAAACTATAGTATTAAATTTAGTATAGAACTAATCTCTGTCTCTCTTATAAGGTCCAGGGAAGCCCTCTCTAAATAGGAGGCCCCGAAAACATATATATAATTAGTAATTTATAAGCCTAATACTTATAATATAAATAGTAGTTAGTTATAATATTAAAGGGCCTTTAATCTCCCTAATTAATACCCGCAATATCCGAGATTTATTATATGCCCTTAAGTCACGTGCGACCCTGCATATATTATAACTATACCTCCTTTCTAGAATCTTGTTCCCAAGATTCATTAATCTATCCTAGTAAAATATTTAATTAATTATATATTTAACCGAGGTAAACTTCTAGTATCTTGGGAGATAGGTTTACTAATATAATCTGGGTAATAAATATAAAAATTATCTAATTAGATTAGGGCTAAGTAAGCAAGAAAGAAAAGTAATTATATCCTAGATATAGGAGCTAGCTAGTAATTGCAATTTCGTTTAGGGTCTAAGTATTCTAATTAACTTAATCTAAAATACTAAGATACTATTCTATAAAATTAATACTACTTATTAGATCTCGTATTAGAATAATCTAAATAGCTATATAGAAAGAATTTAATAAATATTTATATAAGAAACCCATATAAATATTTCTGAGGTTCTAGAGATTATTTATAAGCTTCTAGAAGTATATATTAATTAGTTATACTAATTTCCGATTAGGACTAGCTCGAAAACTAGTAATTAATTCAGGTAGTTCTCTATTTCTATAAAAGAATTTCTTTATATTACTATATATTTTCTTTCTTTCTAATAACTATATATATAATAACTTTTTCTATTATTACTTTCTAGCTTCTTCTTTTACTCTTCTCTAAGTTTTCTTTAATTATTTTTAATTAAT